CACGACATACTTGACACCAGCCCTTCCTTTTGCTTTTTTCCTCCTCCATTTTTCTCATTGAAAGTTCTGGCACTGTAGAGGCAAGATTTTAGCTACCCTGGGAACTACTGGAGGGTGCTGAGGGGACTTGTTCATTCACCAGAAAGTTTACAGCAAATTTGTCACAGCCTGACCAGATCTAATTGGTGCAATGTGTAAAGAAACAGGCTCATTGGATATTTTTAGTGCTCTCTAACCTTTCTAGCACAGAATTGTTAGGTATTAATTAATTCCAACTGTCTGCCAGTTAATTTTTTTGAAGTTGGATTCTCACAAATAATTTGGCTCCAGGTGTCTTTTAGATCCAGTGGTAAGATAACAGGATGCTGGCATTTATCATGTGTACTGTCTCGAGCATATCTTTTCTGACCTGTTTGATATTTTGGACATTATATACTTCTTTATCTCTTTATTGCCTTTGCAAGTATCTGTTTTTTTCTCCTAGTGGTTTCATTACTGCTAGTCATTGATAGGCAGAAGAAATGTCCCCAATTAACACATGGACCTTTCTGTAGCTGTCATTTGTTTGCATAACATTTTCTTCCCTAGCTAAGCTGCATGGAGCATTCTGAACACCTTCACTTTGCTTTCTGCATCCAATTATTTTTACTCTGTGTTTTTACAGTGCAGCTCCATTCATACAAAATCTATTTGGGTAGCTTTACTACATGCCATATGGTCTGTATTTGATTTTCCAGGAAGTTTGGGTGTTCTTATCCATAATGCCCTTAGTCTCTTTTTAAATTTCAAGATTCTTTAGTCTTTGTGGTATGTAAAACAGAATTGGAGGGTCTTCTTCCTGTGCTACAGCCTCAAACCTGGTCTGGGCATAAACCAGATGCATTTATCCCATGCATCCAACAAGAGTGGGAGAGATCAGGTGATTATAGTGGGAACACATAATTTTTAAAATTTCTATTATTAAGCTTCCAAAGTGAAAATTATTTACATAACTTTGCATCATGTGCTAATGTAAACAATTGGATTTGAAATATGTTCCTATTCCTATTGACATATATGTGTATCACTGCCAAGGACAGGGAGAATTTGCAAAGGAGTGTGATACCAGTGCTAATTCCTTCATGCTTGCAGACTGATGCAGGGATCTAGTGCTAGTGTCCTGTGGAGCCACCCAACGTGGATGTTTCCCTCTCTGAAGATGTCTTGCACTATTTTCCCCCAACACTTTGCTACATTGATGATTAATGGAGATACTTCAGCTGAAAATCTCTTGTGCTTGCCAGCTGTAGTCCTGGGGAAGAAGCCGAACTAGTGTAAGAACTGGGCTTGGGTTTTTGTTCAGCAACAGATCTCTGAGTGTGACTCCAAAAGGCATCGCTTAAATTCAGAGTTTTATTCTGAAAATACAGAGCAGTTTCCACAGAGATGCAAGGCTCTGAAACCTCTGAGGTGCGCACCACCTCCACTGAGCAGGGTGAAGATGCCCAACTCCTAGTCCATCCCCCAATGCAACAGGGTACAGGAATAGTAATCAGTTCATTTAACCCATGGATGTCTACATTAGGCACTGTAGAACTCTACTAAGATGATTGCTTTGTCAATATGTCCACCTTCTCTGTCTTTGATACCTCTGGGGTATGGTACTTCCAAACCCCTTTGGCTGCTTGGGGATAAGCAGTCATAAGGGCAGGCTGGGATGATTAACCTGGATAGACATCTGGGCTGGAAATGTTTCTGAGTAATCAGATAGAAACACTCTTGGTGTTTGCTCTTTCTCCTCAGTCAGTGAATTTCTCCAGAAGATAGTTCAGACCTGAGCTGACAGAGGCAATCACCACACGTTTGAGGAACTGGAGGGAGCCAGGGTTAGGCAGTGACTTGGTCAGCGTCTCTTGAGTGCAGCCTGTATACTGTGTGTGTATAACTCAATACTACTTTGGTGCCTGGCTTCCACATCCCAGGGACAAACCAATCATTTCTGAGCTGATGGAAATGCTACAGCTCCACTAAAAGTGGAGACAAGGACTTAGAGATAAGAAGGAAGTACCAGATCAAAGCCAAATTTACGCTCCTGATAACCCACTAAAGGGTTTTTATGCATATTTTATTTTTTATTGGCCCAATCATCAGCTTTCTTCTGCCCAGGTTTTGGACCTATGCATGAGGATGCATGTGGGCATTGCTCAGCAAAGCATGTATAGTTTTAAGGCTTGGTGCAAACCAGCACAACCAAGATGGATACATAGAACAAGGATACAAAAAAAAAAAAGAGATTCATCCTATGAAACAAGGCTGCTGGGAGACACATACCCCCAGGAGGGGCTCACTCAGCTCAGCCCTTTATGCCTGCCCTGTCCTTTAGAAAGAAGAGTTCCTCTTCTTGAGTAATGGATTAAGATTTATAAGGGCAGAAATACCTGCTTTGAGGCCCCTTCTTGTCCTGAGGTGACTCAAATTGCAGGTCTCAGGTGGCACCTGCTAACCAGGTTGTGTGGCATCACCACCAGGCTGTGGGGATGATGGGAAACCTCTGCATTTATCCTTGGTAAGAAGCAGCTGCTCCGGCTGTTCTCTGCTATTTGTTTGGCACATCGGCACACCTGGGAACTTCACCACCAAAGACAAGCAAGGACAGGGCATGTAGTTTGGGAGAGATTTTGGCATGCGTGTGCAGAAGGCTGTGTAAAAAAGTGTCTGGCCCAGCCACCATAGCACTTGCCAGCAATGCTTTGTGCCTGGCATTTGGCAGCTGCACGAGGCTGTGGTTGTTGCCCTCTCAGCCCGGATCTTGAGAGTGGTCTCATGCTCTGGTCCCTTTGGAACGTGCACATCACCGCAAGCCTCGGGATGGGGGCACTGGTAGAGACAGTGTGTCCCCATCATGTGCCTCTGCAGTCCCCGCCATGTGCCAGAGCCCCCCAGCTCAGGGATGGAAGGCCTCAGCATGGAGGGAGGAACCACACCAGTGTCGAGTCGCAGCTAGGCTGCCTCAGTTTCCTCTCTCCTTGAATCCTGAAGGTGTGTGCACCCACCTGGAGCATCTCTGGGGGCTAGGGCATGCTTCTGCCACCCTTTCCAGTTGGGAATTTGGTTAAGGAGGGGTGGGGAGGGCCCCTGCAACTAGGCTTGGAGTGGACTCTCCCTGTGCTGATGGTGGGCACCCTGCCTGGTCAGTGAGAGCCATTAGAGGGACTTTAGCCTCTTTTGGGGGCCCTAGGACCTCTGCAAAAGCAAACCTGTGGGTGTTAAAATGATGTTTTCCCTGGAAACTTAAAGGCTCTGAGGTCTGCAAAAAGCTTTGCCCTCTTGGATCATGGTGCCTCTGTGCCTGCTTGGTACTGCTGACTACTACTGCAGATCTCAGGGAGCTGGGACCATCTCTTATCCCACACAGGGCTGCCTGTTGCAGCGAGGTTTCGCATGATGCAACTGACAGTAACCACCCCCCTGGGGTATAGAAAGGACGTCAAGCCCCTGCAGGAGCCAGCAGCTGCTGCATGATGAGCACCACCAGCACCTCATGGCAGAGGGGTGGCCACCGGTGGCTCAGTGATCAGTACAGCCCACGGCACCGCTGCCCTCCTGGCGCCCTCCCGACACACGGCCTGGGGCACCGGCTGCAGAGCACACCCCCAGCCCCACAGAGCATTCACCCTGCCAGCAGCAGAAGGGGTCCTTGCTTTTGCAATGTCTCCATGAACTAACTGGAACGCAGTATTTTTCCTCTTTTTCTGCTGTTTTGTTTTTGCACAGGTTGGGACTGGTATTGTACCAGAGCAATGTGCAAAACCTTGGCTAGTAACATTTGAAATTTTCACCTGTGATATTTTCTGACACACTGGTATTGCCTGACACACATCCTGCCTGCCGTAAGATGTCTGACACACACAATTATTTCTAATGAACGCCTAATAAAGCAGATCACAGTGAAGACAGGCACTGGCAGGAAATTGAAATTATGGTATGGCAAATAACTTACCAGACAAAACTGCCAGCTGGTAGGTATGAAGCCCAGATACAAATCCATTTTATAAAAATATAAAAAGTATATAGTCCATTTTATAAAGTCCATTTTATAAAAATAACAAGGTTAAAATCTAGATTCTGGTGATATTTTAACAGGAATCACCTACCGTGTTCTTTCTGAACTAGAAGATACTCTTTGTGTTTCAGTTTCTTTGCTGGACCATGTAAAAACATTCATATCTATCTTTGTCTGTAATGGTGGCCTTGTTTCTCCTGTGTGGAGATATTAACTGTACATTATTTTATCATTATCACTGCTCTTTTGTGTCTACATTGGCTTCAGGACAGAATAGAGCTCAGAGATAAACTTTTATATCACAAACTAAAAATCTAACAATTCCCTCAGCCTTCACTACATATCCCCTCAGCAAATGGTTCACAGTACAAAACAGAAGCCAATAAATCATTCTTTCTTTTAAATAAACAGAATTACTTCTCTTAAACACTTCTGATGACCAATTAAGAATAACTGAGACACTGAACATACTGCCAAGCACCCTGACCCCACAAGAATGTTAATAGTTTTTAAGAACTGTGGAGGGCAGGAGGAGAAGAAATACATTTGTTAAAAAGCATGGTTCAGATCCTCGACTGGTAGGCAGAGACGGACCTCCAGTGTGGTGCTAATTGGTACAATTGCCTGGTGAAATGTCTCTAAAATAACAGGCACTCAAGTTCAAGATCCACTGTGGTTTCAAATATCCATCGCGTAACTCAGACAGTATCTGGTTTAATAAAGGAGGAGGGTGGAGAACCAGAGAGGAGAAAGGAACAATGGTACCTTTCCACATGGGCACTAATATGGCCAGTGGGCAACAGCAGAGCCCCCTTCCCCCCAACAGGCTGAGGCTTCTGATGAATTTAATGTTCTCTGAAGACTATCTCAACTGAAATCAAAATGACTTATGACCTTTTCTCTGAGCAGCAGGACAACAACATCCATAATGCAAAGGCAGTCAAACAGAAGATGAGAATGTGATTTTTTAAAAATGAATGTTTTATTCATGAACTATTTATAAAATTGTGTAAAATATACTCAAATATATTTATTTTGTTGACTGTAGTTAAAAATATAAAAATATACTTAAATGCATAAATTAAATTGACAATAGTAGCACAGTTCTGTGTTCATCCAGTGTTTGTTAGGAAAAGTCATTATAAGTAATTATATTGCATATGAGAACGGAATATGTGCTGAAGACGTTTTTTCAGACACTTTACTCCAGGAAAGAATTTATGGCTAGACAAATTTCAAAATTGTGGGTTTTTTCTTTGGCCATAGTGGTGCTACCAACAGCTGAGGAGTCTGACTCTTATCAGCCTGAGAGGGATAGTTGGGGGCACAGGGTCTACAGTGAGTTGCTACAGTTGTATGTCTGAAGTATGGAAAGAAATCTGAATAAATGTTAAACACTTGCTAAGCCACTCCTTGGTCATGAAGCTGTGGCTGCAGTATGCAGTATCTCTGAATGTCAGATGCATTTCTCTAATCTGCAGCCCTGGGAGGAGATGCTAATATAGTGATTAGATGGTTACTATCCCATATATTAAATCCCAGGCTGAGGAGCTTGGCTAAGTGCTCATGTACTCCTCTCTGTCTTGTATTTAACTTCTGGTTTCAAAGTTAAAGCGTAAATAACCATATACAATACATAATATAAACTTAAAGCTCACACATTTTCTTTTCTCTGTTCTACAACTGAAAGGAAATTCATAGTATATCATGGCACAAAATAATATTTCTGGCAATTTTAGGCATTATTTATTGCTAAATAACTATAGCAGCAGAGAAAAATGTATAAAGTTGCACTTTTATGACATCTTCACAGTATGCCTACTTCTCTCACCCACTTTTGTGTTCCATTAGTAACAAAAAATATCATTTATCAACTCCAGCTATGTAAAATCCTTTTTTTCCCTACATTCGGTAGTGGATCTTGTAATTGTATTGCACAGATTAAAAAACTCGTTTATTACAATTTTTTCATTATTAAATACCTTTCAATACAAAAATTTGAATTAACCTAAAAGCCCAACTCTGCAAGTGCTTCAGAAGTGGAACGGTATTTTCTTCAGGCAAGCATTCCAGTTGACTTTCGTGAAAGTACTCAGGTAGCTTTGTGGACAATCCAGAGATTCACAGGACTGGGCTCCAAGTGTGCAAATCGTAGCTTATGGATCTGCTACAACACTAGCCTTGCTTTATAACATTGTTATTGGGAAACATCAAGAAGGGAATTCTGAGCATTATCCATGGACATTCAAAAGATATCTTTTTCCTTAAGACTTGTCTCTGTTCAGTACGGTCTCCTTCAAATGCATTCTTGTTACATTAACAATTTCCCATCAGTCCTGTTATTCAGCTTAGAGGCACAGTAAATATAATTAATTATACTGCTATGTAGGTGTTTTATATTAATAAAATGCTACATAGATACTTTTAACTTTTTCTCACTGGATTTACACTGGTTTCATATGAGCAGAATTGGCTAGAGAGCAGAACCAGAGCAATAATGTGTGTGTACTGTCTTATGTGTGACCTAGCTGGGCAGAGATGTAAAGCTGCTTGTGAGCACTCTGCCAGAGCACTTAAGGTCATCTGTCACATTAATAAGTGATGAAGAGGAAGATGCTTATGAACTGTGTCCATTATTAGCTGAGAGAAAAGATGAAACTAGTTGTCTGCTATGACATTATTGTTTTGGGTACACATGCGTGAACTCTGTAGGTGCGGACAAGGGAGCTGAGAACGATAAAGAGTAGAATGATGTGCGTCTTTCTGAAAATGATGCACAACATACATACATAGTGTGCAATCAGACTTTTGCTCTCAGATCATATGTTACTGAGTTCCATTTCCCTCAGCACTAAAAAAATCACAAAGTGATATATAGTGTGAAGTAATTTATAGGGTACATTTGGTATGTCTTCACAGTGTAATTAACATGTGCTGGTAACTAACATGGTGACCTTTGCTCCTCAGCTATCCCTGAAAAAAGAAAGGACTAAATGCAGCACATGTAACACAACAGCAGTTTTTATGATGCCTTAAGTCCAGCGGTTATTAGCAGAGTCAACAGTTGATGTAAAGCTGCCATGCTTGTTTGTCCTTGCTTGCTAACCTAGTTAATCTAGCAAAGGAAACAGAGAAAAAAAGGACTCTGCACATTTCTTTGTGGTTTTGCTTAGATCTCCCCTGCGAAAATGTCTTCCACTCTAATGCTAGGTCCTTTCTTTTTCAGTTCCAATTAAGGGTGGTGGATTTTGGGGTTTGTGTGGTGCCAAAGAGGATGTACAGGAGGAATGAGCAGTATTTTCATACAGAAACACCTAAAAGATTAACCAAGCTTCCACGTTTTGAGCAGCTGTGAAAGCTGATATGAAGGGTGGCTTCTGAGGCATATGAGGATATTTGGTCAAGAAAGGATGAGACTCCAGATGAGTAGGAAGGAAGAGTGACTATTGGGCTGTTTCCTTCTCTCTAAGAAGACCAGAGTGATATGGATGTGCATAGTCCTGCTGGTTCTGCTTTGGAATGATTTCTTAAGAAAACTATGTCAGAGCTGCCTGCAACATTCATGTGGAGGATTCTTTCTATGCAGACATGCTGGGGCCAAACTTTGTGAGAGCAAGCAGCATAAAGCCAGTTGTGTTAATTGTTGGAGATATACATGTTTGCAATCTATCTACTTTTTTGGCTCTCATGGTACAACATTGTTTCTAATGAGCTAAGGAAGTTGTCAGACTTCACATCCTCACAGGTCTGTTAACACAAATGTCTGAGGCATTTTTTGAACATTTTTCTTAATTATAATTATTCACACATGAAAACGCACAGACAGGTTGTGGTCTGATTCTGCTCTCTTAAACCAGTGTAAAGAAATCAGAATGTGACCTGTCTCCCCTCAAAGTATGTGGTGGGAGATAGGTCTGTTAGACTTCACTGCAGCATATGTTGTTCAATATTTTTCTACTATGTTACATTAGGCTGAAATGGTTGCTTCCGGTGAGGTGAACCCTGTTTTGCTCAGTTGTTACTGAGTTCTGTAAAAGGTATGCCATTGTGTTACAGGTTATACCCATTTTTCTCAGATGAAAAGCAGTAAGTTTAAAGTGTAGAGTAGCATTGTAACTCCTATACAGGACTACTGTTCCCTTGCTTAATAGTAGCTTATTTCATCTCACAAACACTGAACTAGTTAAAAAAAATGAGGTTCTCCTTAAAGGATTTTTCCTGTGTCATGCCAATACCGCCCTAGATGCAGCAGTCCTGTTAGCCATTGAATTTAAAATAGTTTATGTAGAACAGTTTATAAAAACTGTGATAAGAAAAAAATAGTATTATCTGAAGCATAATATTAATATAAACAATATAGAAAAAAATACATATTTACATAATGCCAAAATACAATTATATACATTAATACCTATTATATTTAAATTATATATCTTTTTAAAAAATCACCAGACCAATAAATTATACAGTCTCAGCAGAAAGGTCTGGCACCTTCCTGGTGCATGAAATACACATACAAAAAAACCCCAAACAAACCCCCGAGTTAACAAGTGTGGTCACAAAAGTAGATATCTCTAACATTCTTAGTGCCTTGAATAAACAGCATCTGAAAGCAAGGAAAACTGACATTAGAAAAAGGAAAACAACACAGGTTGCTTCATGTTCAACTCTGCCAGCTGACTACAGTGCTCTGAGAGGAGGTTACGTGGCAGCAGCGCTGGCTGGTGACTGATGTGACAGCAAAAAGCAAATCCCACCTCTGCTTTTGCTAGGACTCTCAACTTGTAGAAACCTGGCTGAGTCCTTGGCTTCCTCCAAGCCTGTTCCACCTATTGATGGCAACTCTGATTTCTACAAGCTAGATCAAGAAAAATGTTTTGATCTCTCATTATATAATCTCAGTTCCTAATGTCCAAATTTCTGGAGCTACTGAGATCCTGCCGTTTGACCCTAAAAACTTCTACAGACCTTAAGAATCAGCTCTACCAATGCACACAAACCACCTCCGCTTACAACTTCTTCAAACTGGCCGTCTGGCCATGGGAACAGGAGGTAAAGGGCAGTGATAGTGCCAGGTTTGCTACTCCTGCAAATCTGATCAGTGAGGGACTGGATACAGGCTAGGAAAAAGAGCACGGTCTACAACCCCTACATTTTCCAGTCAAGGCAGATGGGAAGTTTCCTAAGGCTGCCTATATAGTCAACAGCAAATGAGGGTGATGCAGGACAGAAATGGAACTCCATGAACGACAGAAGAGCTCAGTGAGCACAGCCAATGGCCTCAGCATACTTAAGGGTGGATGGTGTAAAGACTGGTGAGGTAAAAGCCAATACCCTGATAGGAAAGTGGTTCAGTTCCCTCAACAGCATAGGACCATGAAGTGTGAGACAGGGTAAGGTAGAAGCAGGAAGTGATATTATAATGACTAATAATGAAGGAAATAAAGACACAACTGCAAGAGTGACAAGAGCAGAGGAGTGAAGAAATGAAGGTCCAGGAAGAGAACAAGTATCAATGGTAAGGGATAACACAATTCCCCCTCAATTACATTTGAAACATTTTACAATTTGATAAACTTGCAGTTACCTCTGTGATACTCTGGATTCACATTTTCATATATTGGAAATAAGGGATTTTCTTGTTCACTGCGAAGTTTTCTGGCTCTTAACACGTCTCTCACACATTGATGTAGATACACATATTGACACTGCAAAAGATTTGTATTTAGGACACTCTGAGAAATTTTGTAATTTAATCTTCTGTATAGTGAAAAATCATTACAAGCGAACTACCTCACACATAATCAAGGGTGGTGTTAAGCATGAAAATATACTTCTAAAATTAATCTCCTTTTCACACTAGTAATATAGTAAACTTTTGTGATCACCTGTTCTTAGAAATAATACCAGTCAAATATAAAGGAACATAATATCTTTTGACGGATCATGCCATAAGTGAAAGCTCTAGCAACTGCAAAGCATAATTTGACATGGTGCTGTGTTGGATAGCTACTACTTCTGAATGCTTTGGTATAACATATGTGTAAAAGAATTAATATGTACAGGGAAGCAGGCAGAAGAGACAAACAATTTCCTGTTTGTTTTTTTTTTCTGAAAAGAAATATTTTCCACAGAATTTTATTATAATATATAAATATTTCACAGAACTTCAACAAACCCAAATTTTCTGGCAAAATTAGTATTTTTTTGATCCAGTATAAGTTATAAGATTGCTTCTGACTATGCAGCAAATAAGTTTTCTGAAGAGTGCCTTTCACAGAAGGGAACTAAGATGACATTCACAACCAAAGTAAGGAGGATGAACAATATTATTGACTACTGACTATTCATCAAACTACCTTAATAGAATAGATTGTTAAACTCCCATGCTCTGCTACTTTTTGTGGTTTATGATTAGTGTAACATGGTACCCATAAGTAGGCCGAGCATCTTTATATATCAAGGTATATGTTTTTAATATTACTTTTCTCTCAAAAACATAATTTCTCCAGTAAGTATATGCATTTTCTCTCCTCATATCTTCTTTACTTATTTTCCACAAGAAATTCAGCCACTGCTCTGTGCCTTTTTCTCAGTGCTCTCTCTGGCTTTGGGAAAGTGAGAATGTCTGCTTTTATGCACATACAGCTGCTGTCTCTGTGGAGCAGAGCCTTGCATCCCACTCACCAACATGACGGAAAGTTGGCCAAGGCATGGAGACTTTCTTTGACAGAGACCATTTGCGACTGAAATGGTCTGTGTTACAGCTACTGTGCTGAGCACACTGCCTTTTAAGCTGATGCACACAGTGTTCTGTTACTCCTTGCATTTCTCCAGCTGCAGTCTCTTGTCTTAAACAGCTTTCAGCCAAGTCTGAAGCAGGGGCATTGTTTTGTTGTTGCTGTTTTTCTACGGCTGAATAATGCCAAGTATGATGGTGCTGTGACCTTGGGCTGGAGCATCTCATTGCAAACAGTACTGTCTGCTGGCCTGTGCTCCACAGTGGGATTTGGCTTTTACTGTATCGACAGAAGGGGAACTATCTTTTATTCCAACCCCTAAACACATTCTGGAAGCCAAGACATGGACACCAGGAACTAGTGTCTTCACACACATCAAATGGAGTTTGTGGAACAGATTTGTTCTTCCCCATCTCCCCACCTCCTTTACTGTTTCTTAAAAGATAATTCACTGCTCATTGCAAACTCTGAATCATCATAAAACTCAAGGATAAATTTACTTCATTTTTTGCAGGAGGATGAGAGACTGTATTGCTTGTGCTCCAAACCACCTTGATAAAACACAGTTCCAAGTCAGAAACCATAAACAGGATGCAACTGAGAGTTCATATTAATAAGACTTGCTGAGAATACAGCAGCTCAGTGACTGTGCACTGACACAGCTACATAGTCAGTTTACAAGCATGTTACAGCTCATGTGTGAGCTGTAAAAGCTTTCAATTAGTCTGTCTCTGGGATGCTGATTGCTAATTCTTCCAGGGGCAGGACTGGTTACAAGAGGGATCTGGGTTCAACTTAAGTCACAGATGGTTTGGGGCAGAAGGGCATATAGTGCTGGTAGTGTGAAGGCTCAGCTACTCACTGTTGCTGTAGATATTTTGTGCGGGTCTGGCTGCCTTTTGTCTTAGACGTCATTTCAAGTTCATGCCAAAGGTAGGCTTTGTATCACACAACTTTAGTTGTCTCTAAGTCTGGTGTCAAATTTAGGCTCTTGAGGTAGTTGCTTCCTTTTTCCAGCTAGGGAAAAAGAGCCATACTCCTGAGATGCCTGTCCACCTTTGCAGACTATGGATACTGGAAATGTAGAAGGTGAGATGGATCTGTTTCTGAGGATGCTCAGACCAGGCAGAGAATCTGTCTCCCCTCCAATGAAGGGGAGACAGATTAATCTGTGATTAAGATACTTCCAGGAATCCCTTTTTGTGTGTGTTTTCAGTTGGGCCTTTCTTCATACACATATGAGAGACATTTACATTATCAGAAAACACTGTCACTGACATTTTTGTTTCCAAATCGCAGCAAAGAGCTCTATTATTATCAAGCTACAGGCAGACCCATCAAACTTGTTCTGATTCTTCTATTAATGCTTCAGGGAAAATGTAAAGACTGCCTCCACAACTTGCCTTTATTAAATCAGTTCCTAAGTGTTTAGCTGGTATTAGTGTAATATGATTTTCTCGCAGTTTTAAAAACACAGAAGGAAATACAAAACATTTCCTTTTTTTGCACTTTGAGAATAAATGTACTTGCTTTTACATAGTATGTTAGATTTGGACCCACTGTATGAGAGCCAATGGAAAAACCCCTGAACTAGAAATTCTCACAGAGCTAAAATACATCTAAGTAGTATTTCACAGTGGAGTAAGTGCAAAGTGCTTTGAGAGCCTTTATGATGAGAGACAGATTGTTAGATACCGTAGCTGGTGTTGCTGCATAGAAGGCTATCTAAAACTTACCTCTGTCTGAACCATGTGAACACGGTGAAGCCTTAGATCATGTACTGCTGCATAAATGTCGACAGTGTCCTTTGAATCCAGCTGTTGCAGAATTCGGTCTAGTGCAATGAATGTGCCAGTCCTGCCAACACCAGCACTGGAAAAGAAAACAACCCAAAAGACTGAAAAGCAGATGGATAAAAGCATTCAATATATTCATATGATATTTTTGTAAACTTCAGATCTCCAGGGTGAGAAGCAAATTGTTCAAATGGCACCTCTGAGACTTTATAACACTTTATAGTGGAATTTACTTAGGAAGGAGGAAGGGATAGTGATGGTAGAGGTACCTCTCCTACTGCCTGCACTGCTTTCTGCTTTGGATTAACTCAGCCATTGAGATACACTGAAAGACTGCATCGGACTCTTGTCAGAGTTTTTAAACCTCTTCTCTCCAGGAATACAGCTGTGGTCTTGTTTTCTAAAAGATCCGTAGGCCGTTGCCTTGTGGAAGGGCAAAGTAAGGAAAAGTATCAGTTCCCCGTAGCTGAACTGCTGGGAGGTGGGGTCTGGAGGCAGGAGGTTGGAAAAAGAAAAGCTGACTTGCTGATAATAGTAGAAATCTGACATGCTGCAGCCCATGCTGTACAGGTGGGGTCATGTAAGATACATCCCTCAGCCCATATAATGTATGGAGGGGTCAGATACTACAATCAGGTGGTACCATATGGCTTTATCAGAAGATATAGCACCGCACTGCACTCACTCTCTCTCTCTGTGTAACCCTATAGTCTGCTGCAACTGGCCAGTGGATTACGGATCAGGCAGTCCAGTTTTGTCTTTTTCGTATACATGTGTAGGGGTGGACTACAGATCAGAGGAAAAACTGCAGCCCTATGACTGCCAGAGATGACAAAAGAGCAGAACAGCATGAAAAGGCAGTAAAGAGAGGGAGTCTCAGTCAGAATGGGGGAAAGGATAGACCTGTCAGCTGATCTCAACATCCATATGTAGTCAGATTCACCCCAGGCATATCTTACCTTTTTAGAACACCCCTTAGTGATTCAAATGTTGGACCAAGAGAGCAGTACATGGGCAATTTAAGAATGCAAAAGCTTATGAGCAGTGGTAGCTACTGGCACCTGTAGTTCTCTCCAGTGGTCCCACAGAGACATGGTGGTTCCCTAAGAATCATTTTCAAGGCTTCTCCAAAGTAAGGCTGTGGGTTAGTGCATGTGCCTTGGGATGACTGCTCTGATGTATCTGGACACTTAAGCTCATCAGCTATTTCTCAGGTTCTCTGGCTGCCCAAGGTCTAATAGGGATGAACATTTGGGAACTTCCCAAGGGTACGCACAAGAGCTCTGTGCCACTGACCTTTCGCTGCTGCACATACCTGCAGTGTACAATAGTTGGTCCTGTGTCTGGGGTCCTGTTGATATAATCTCTTACAGTTCTGACAAACTGAATCAGGGACTGGGTGGTCTCTGGCACACCATGATCTGGCCATACAGTGTAGTGGAAGTGACGAATGAGCCTTGTTGAGTCAAGCTGCTCTTCCTGTTGGGATTCAAAAGTGTGGGTCATCAGGACCAGAGAGGAAGGGACATATACAACATGCACCTTCGGAACGAATGCTATAGCTGCCACCAGAGGTGAGCTGGGCACGATGCAACTGTGTTACAGCAGAAGAAATTTATCCTCCCTAATTTAGCCTTGCAGGTGTTTTAAGCCAATTCATTAGGAAAAAAAAGAATGCAAACATACACTGCAGATTTTAAACTCTCTTATTGTCCATTCTGGGAGCACTGATTCAGACAACATCTCAACAATCAGGTCTCCATAGTACAAGGAATCCTGATCGAGGGGCCAGTAGTGATCACACTTTACCTGCAGGGACACAGACAAAGACAGACTTAGTGTTAGAAACAGGTGTAAACAATGCCTCTGTTCAGCACTGGCAGAAGCAGACTTCAGACCTCCCATGTCTGAGGAGGAAGGAACAAAGGCAGCAGCTGAATTCAGAGAGAGATGCCACTCCCTGCCATGTGAACAAACAGTGCCTGGGATGGGAATGGACTAGCATGGGAAGTTCTCATAATTGATGTTTGTGATGAGGGGAATGGGAAGCACTTCACTGATGCCCTCTTCTGGGGCACATTTTCCACATCAAGTCTTCTCAGACCTCTGCTTGGATGAGAGGTCAATTCCAGTGCCTGCTTCCTCACCTCTTGCTGAGATATGACTGTAGGGTGCCACTTGGAGCCAGTGAGGTGCAGAAGGACACAGGTCTTAGTCTGCATTGGCTTTCACCCTCTCCTCAGGAAAAAATGGTAAACTGAAAGAAACTGACCGCTATGTGCCACCAGGTGATTGTTACTTTTTTGTTTAATCTTCTTATAGACCTATTCCCTGTCTTATAAAGGAGGCAGAACGTGGTCATACCTAGGGAGGTATGCTCCACTTGCACTCAGTAAGAGTGTGAAGTGCGTGAATGGTCTCTTTGCTAGCTACATCAGGGCTTATATATAGAGATAATTTGATCTATTTATTGATCAACATTTGCTCTCCAGAGCTTATATTTAAAGTTGATCAGAGCTGATGTGATCAACAAGCATTTTTAGTTGTTGGTTGTTCTGCATGCTTAAGGGAATTGTATTAGTGCTAGAGGACAAAGTCCTGGATTAGAGACCAGTAGCAATGAGCTCTGTTCCTAACTCTTAACTTTGACATGCTGCATGATCTTGGGATAGTCTCTGCATCCTCACTTCACAGCCTTAATCTCTCTCCAGTCTTTATACTATACCTCTTATCTCTTACTGTGTATCTCCTTAACTGGGCCCTTTTTGGCATTAGTGTGATGCAAATATTAAGTAAAAACTTTTAATAGATATTAGAACAGTAATTAATAATAAAGAAGAGTCACTGCTCACCCGGCCCTTCTCAACACACTGGGTTACCATGACAATATTGTGAACATTTTGCTCCCATGCCATCTTCCAGAACTCATCTTTCGTGCCAGGCAAAGGGCCCTGAGTTGCTATGTATTCCCTGCGGAAATTATTGCCCTGCAAATAAAGAGAAGTCCGTTAGTTTCCAAAAAGGCAGAAAAAAATATCTTCTAGCAACTGAACAAGACATGGGGTTGCAGCTAGAGCTCTGCAGGAACAATGCTCTTGCTGGGACAATAGTTTTGAGAACTAAATTTTTGCCTTGAACCTGGAAGCAAATGATTGGTTGGAACAGAGAGAAGAAGGAGACCGTAGCAGTATATCTAAATACTGTTCCTTTTGCGGCAGACAAAGCTTTTTATTTTTCTACTGTGCACAGCACAGTCTCAAGCAATTTTGAAACTGCAAGGAGCTTTTGCTTTATTTACTGTTTTTAATAAATTATCTGAGTTCTGGCTTGATATCTGGATTGCTAAAGCCACTGCTATTATCAATCATAACTCTTCGTCAAAGGGCATTATTTTAATTTCAGCCAGTTTCGCCACCCTGCAAGGTGCCAATGCTGTCAGGATGAGCTACAGCTCCACAGTGAGGACACCACCTGCACTGATAGCCATAGTTGACACCGTATAAAAGCATCAATCTTTAAAAATGTGTCCTTGGCCAATTAGACTTACTATCTTACGTAACTATAGCAATCCAAGAAAGTGCCCTTAAGTGCTGGGTAAATCACTCACACTTAATTTAATGGCAGTCAGACACAGTCTTTCAGCACACCCACAAAATAAGTTTTAAGATTTTTAGCCAAAGTGAGTCAATGAAGGGGGAGAGCAGCCCTAACTATCAAGCTTTATATTCAGTTTTAGATGAAGGACGAATTACCACTGGAGGGAGGACTGTAAAACACCACCCTTGAGTCACTTACTGGTATGTAGCTTGCATTAATGTAGTCTGAGCAAGGGTCATCATCCACATTGGAAAGCTTCACTCTTGATGTATCATCTAGGAAGAAATCCATAACAAGTGGCTTAGGGCTAGGTCTTGATTTTCAGTCCTTCTCTCACTTAAAAAATGCATTTCTGAAAGGACTGGCAGCACTCTTACAAGATTTTATATGAAGAGTTAATTTAAAGGGAATAACTGTTTATGTTTTTACTGCCTCTTTCATTCACTCCAATGCTGTGGAGTGTTCTAAAGACTAGGAGATGGCTGGTAAGAAGGAAGCAGTAAATATCCCAAATTTCCTCTGTTGAGCTGCACAGGATTTGTTATGACAACAAAAGGGCCACAGTAGCATCCCCCTTTGATCCTAACACCAGTGTGCTGTACTGAAAAGCAGTGCCCAGCTCTGTCCTTGAAAGAACAGCTGGGCTTTAGTGGTCTTCCGAGCTAACACATGGAGCAGGCCAAACATCTTCCCTAGGTAAACCGCCTTCTGTACAGAAATAGAAAGTGTCTAAGCCACGGGGTCACTGATTCATGAGATAATGCCACCTTGGATCTCAGTCAGGTGTCATTTCTTGTACAATGCAGGCGTGCTGCCCAGCCTGGCAAGGTAGGCAGAACAGGGGATGCTATGAGGCTGTGCTGCAAGCACATACCACGTCCATTAGTGGGGATGTGGAGCAGTGAGTCATGTGGTGTTCCTCCTCAATGTTTTACCTCCAAAAGTGCCATGTAGGAGATTAAAGGGGGAAACTCTCAATGACAGACAGGTCTAGGCCTTGCCTTGAGAGAAGAGGGTTAACCTCACACATGTGTCTTACCATGCAGAATCACACTAGCTCTACACTGTACAGGAGGTTTGCTACGTACTCTGAAGAACAAAGATTTGGCAAGGCTGTCAAAGAGCACTGAATGGATGATACTCCATATGTAAACAACCCTACTGTTATTTCTATTATCCTTGTTACCAGCAGTGACCGAATGTCCCTAATAGCTGGAGCTTTTTCTCCCTGGGCTGAATGCTAGTCATTACACCTCCAGTGTGAAACTAAATTACTGGTCTGTGTGAAGCCAGACCCCTCAAAGCACCAGAACCTGAGCTGGCAGAGATATTTCATCTCTGACAGAAAAGAGAGAAGGGATTGGCTGCACTCTCTTTTCCACTAGACTTGCTGAAACAAAGTGAAAAATAGCTGGTGTGATGCAATATTACACAACCAAACCTAAAACTCACAGGGTAATATATTATTGTATCGATTTTTCCCTCTGTTCTCTGGCAAAAGTGCTATGTCACACGTCTGGTTTCGACCCACATCTTTCAAGTCCTGAAAAAAAAAAAAAAGAATAAAATGCAAGGTGAAAATAATTCAAGGACGTGACAACACAGGGGGAAACAGTGCTTATCAGCTCTCAAAGGCCATGACAGAGAGTGGTTGTTTTTTCAAAAAACAAACTGAAATTACATAGGTAATCATATTGTTTTAAACCAAGTACATGGCTGGCAGGTAATTTCCATGCTTTATCACACATATGTTGCCATGCAAATCTGATCTCAGCCAGATAGGTATCAGGCAGAGGCTGTCAAAAGAAGATGCTACGCCAAATGAAGAGCTGGTTTCTGCACTTGGACAGGTGGAGTTCACCTGAAACACTCCAACTTATCTGGACTTGTGCGAATAAGACAAATGCAGACCTTCCTAATGCATTAACCTGTTGATTCAGTCAGCCCACCCCTTCATAAAGCAAGTCCTTTGCCTAGGTTAGGATCGCACCTCATACTCCTTGGACAGAAGGTAGTTGGAGTCTGCTTGAAGTTTGGTGAAGTGTGCTTCAAAGTGACTGACTTTGATCAGACTAAAATATTCAACAGGAGGAAGAAAATCACAGGATGAATCACAGTCATAATTTATCCAGTTGGTTACCAAGAAGCTTTTTTAGGTATTATTTTTTTCTTTTTACCTGGAAGTTTTTCGGTTCCTAGAAATGATTTCAAAAGAAAAAGAAACACTTCATCAGTGAGTGACCAGATGGATCTGTTCAACCACGATGCCATGTTAAAAAAAAATAAATCTGCCTTTACCCTTTTTGCCCCAAGTTCAGATGGACCGACAGTGACCTCTCCCTGCGAATGCTCAGCCTTGCTGTAGATCTCTCATGGCCACTGCTGGAATAAAAAGGAAGGTATTCTGTTGTATCTGTTCTGATACTGATAAGAGTTGGTAATAACATAACTTACACTGGAAAACAGTAAATTGGAAAAAAAGGAATTTAAGAAAGTATGTTTTGATTCGTGGCTCTGATCATGTGGCATTGCTCTTAACTGGGGCACAGAGTTTTCTTGTATTTTAGCTTGGCAATAGTGATGTGGAGTGTATGTATGGCACAGGCAGTAAGACTATTTACTTGTTCTGAAACACTCACAGCCCAGTCTATCATTAAGGAGGGTGTCCTTTGCTAAGATGGGCTCTAAATCAGTTGATCCTCTACAGGCAGAGAGGAACATATAGGGAGATTTTCAGAGCTGTAAAAGCTCTACAGCTTCCACCACATGTACTCTGCAGACCAGGCCAGCAGATGCCCAGGTTCATAGCAGGAGTAAGTGGCAGAACCACAGCAGGCTTTGGAAAAGCCATTGAAGTGGTACTTACTCCATACAGTTAGTGATGCCTTTCATCCTTTTGCTGCCATCTCCTCAAGACTCCTCCCTTAGAGAACACTTTCTCCTTTTGTATGATGTGGGAAAACCATACTGGTGTAATTGCCATCCTGCTGGCTATATAACTTACAACAAGAAACCACATTCTATATGAAGTTTATCCATTTTGGCTAAAAGCTATGACTAGTCAGAAAACACTTTTCTTTCAATCTGAAATTCTGGCACATGAAAAGTAAATTAAAAAAATACAGACTTAATTTAGTATCAGTAAAAGAACTGAATTTTAGATTTTCAGTGTTTCCCTTGTAATGGAAATGTTGAGGGTTTTTTTAAATTTCAGAAACCATATGGAATTTCACATCTCTCAGTCATGCAAAATGACTTAAATGGATAAAGCCTTTTTCAAAGTTGAGATAGAGTATTTTTCTTTTTAAAAACATATTTTAAAATATGAACTATTTAAAGTTCACTATTTAAGATTCATCTATAATGTAAAATACACAACTATAATTGAAAAAAAATGAGAAGTAAAGTTTAAACTAATCTTTTGGACACTGAGGAAATGCCATACTCAGTATTTTTGAATTGAAATGATAATATCTAAATGAACAGTTTCAATAGCTTTCCATCTACAATGCAGATGCAATTAACTGGAAACATTTCATTTTTTTGACAAAACATTCAGTCTGAATGATAAAACAGTTTTTCAGATATATTCAGACTCCTAATGAAAACTAAGTTACAAGAATCCTCTATGACATAATTATGGCATCATTTGAATCAAAAATATATAGATTTCTTAATATGTAAGTTCTACACTTAGTGTGCAGAAGATGTTGGGGGACACAGATTTTGTCTGTTGAATAGTTCTGTGCATTCCTCCAATTTTACAGTTACACTTTATATATTGTGTTACTTAAATAAATATAAATTGACATTACTTCAGTAACAGAGACTGATAAAGGGAGTCAACTTACCCAACTTTCTGTCTGCAGACAAATAAAGCAGTAAGAGCCACCAACATCACAATCAGAAACAAGCCAGCACTCACACCTTCAATAACTCCAAACAGAGGCTCTGGAAACAAAACAGTGTACTTATATATCTTGAGGAAAAGATCAGAAGACTTGGAGAATCAATAACTCTCAAGGGATCTGTTATTATCAGCTAAAGAAAATGGCTAAATAGAAGGAAGTGTAAGGCAGTTAAACACCTAGCTAAAACCTGGCCTTGATTTTCTGTCCTTATTTTTTCCAAACATTTCGCAAAATTTTTCACTCCCAAACACAGCAAAAGAAAGCACAACCCCATTATATGGGAGTTTGGTTCTTTTGCACTTTGAAGCTTTCTTGGTGATAGTTCACTGAGCATTCATCCTCTTCTCTACTGTCAGCAGATCTGCAAGCAGTCCTCTGAATTTTCAACAGAAGCCAGATAAACCATGGCTCCAGCCTCATCTCAGAGCAGCCTTCAAGACATGCACAGCAATCCATTTTTGTTCCACTCCTTACAAATAGTTCTAGATACCAGAGTGTTCTTAGGTGCAATATATAATTGCATGGTACAGTCACTGATAACAAGCCCGAAACTAACCTGCCTCTGTAGTGATGGGCAAAGAGAAGAAGGTATCTGCAAAGAGTGGTTTAGGAAGTTCCTTCGGGTCTTCACTGAAAAGCTGGGTAAAAGCTCGTATGCTGATCCTAAAAAAGCAGTATTGTTACACTTACGACTCATTAGACATTCAGAACCAACAGGAGACAAGTAAGAATTTATTTGCCCCTTAGAGATAATTAAAACCTTTCCACCCCCACAGACAATTCTTAAAACAGGCACCTGAGTTAAATACTAATTAATCAGTATTCTACTTAATTAATCATACTGATCCCTGAGTTAAATATTGGGGAACCCAGCTACTACAGGTGGAGGGCTCTGAGGTACCCTGGCAGAGGTAACATATGGGCTCTGGCAGCTGGCACATAGCCTGCCTATGCCTGAAGGCAGGCCTAGCAGAAGTTGCAGAGGGGAGAGGACTCAGAAATGCTTCTCGGTGGGGACACATTTTCCCTTCACTTGGTTGGGTATGGCTGTGCTAATGGAGATTTGCTATAGTCCTCTTGGTTCTCCGTGTAATGTGGGTATTTCCCAGACTGAGTTCTTGGGAAACGTGCCCTAATGAGAGCAGACTATAGTAGGGTAGCACTGTCTTGATGATGAAGCAGCTAAGAGGCATGATGTACACTCCTCGGCATGTGCCTTCTGTCCATGTGTCTTTTCAGTGAGAATACTGCAGATCTCTTGGGAGAGTATTTGCCTTTCCCAAGTGGGAGGGGCATGGCTGAGCCCCGTTGGAGCTCATGTTTGGTCTCGCAGCCTGCGTAACTGTTGAGCCTGGTCTTGGCAGTCACCGTCTTCTACACCCTACACTAACCCAGGCCTAGCTCTGGAGCCTAGGGATGGTGCCACAGGATAGAATAACCTCCAGGTTTTTCTAGCTTGTTCCAAACGACTGGTGTGGGGCAGTGCTGCCGTACAGACTGAGTGAAGTGTGTTTGCCTTCTCCTGTTAAGTACTATTCTGACTTAGCAGATGGTATTAAGTCTTTCCAAAGAAATATTTAGCAGCTATAGGAGAGCTTCCCATCAAGTTGAGGTACATAAATAAACCTATTCACTGCACAGAGTTTTGTGCATAATTAATCATATAATATCCAAACTAGCGAAGGACTGGTTGTTACCTATGGAATGGGGGCATGGAGAAAGCTTTTATAAATTTACATTGAAACACAAAGAACATTACTAATCTACAGAAGCTCAAATGGATCAGGCAGTCAGACAGTACCATGCCTAATAATGTGACAAGAGCACAGCTACCAACATAAATCTAACCTATAAGCAGTTTGAGGCTTTAGAGGTCCATCACAGAATTTGTGGTGATCTGGATCACACTTTCCTCCCAGATTTTCCATTTCTCCTCCAAGCTTAATGTCAAAGCTTTTATAGTCGCTGTCCGGATTTTCAGCACATCTACTGGCAAAATAATTTGTCTGGTAGATGCGTATAGAATCGTTGTGTTTGTACTCCAGGTAGGAAGGTAATGGGTGCTGCTCATCAGGCTTTGGTCCTTCACTACCTGCGTCATGTGCAGAGAAAGACAGAAGGTTCAGATGCCACAGCCATTAATGTGATGCAGTTTGTAGGCTCAATCTCTTGACAGACATTCTTATCCAATTTTCTATTTCCTGGAGGCTACCTCATGAATACAAAGCTACAGTGGTTAGGGTACCTTGTTTCTAGTACCAACTTTTCTATTATTTCTTTAGGCAGATTTCCTTGCAAGACCTCAGTGTAACTTTCCCAGATACAATGCTGATATAGGCATGCATAGGTCAAATTCAATGCTATGACATTTTTTCCTGTGCTGCTGGTGGGAGTTTCTGTGATTCAGATTCCTGGATCCTACTACTAGCTATTTCGAAAAGCAAGTAAAAAAAATCCACACACGGTCAAGTCTACTCTATATAGTGAAAAACAACAACAGGAAATTACAGGGGTTCCCTGGACGTAAATTCACAATAATGGTTAAAGGACTCAGGTAGGCAAAGCCATGGCAATGAGCAGTCCCTTTCCCAAAGACCTTTATGGCACAAGCATGGCAGAGCAGAGAGTGGAAATATTATCTCTGCTTTTTTTCCTAAGGGCTGACGGACAGAGAGATTAAGGAACTTTCATAAGGGTCACAAAATACGCCCTGGCATGTCAGTAAATGAAGCCACTTCTAAAAACAAGGTATTAATTGTTGAAACATGCATCTCATTTCTCTCATATAGGTCAATTGTAGAAAGGGAGGTTTACATGCATGCCACAAGGACAATTTCTGTTCTGTTTTACAGTGCTGCATGCAAAGTAATTTTCTTCAGTAAGCAAACTTGGCAGACCTTTGACTTCTCAGCATGGCTTACTAAGACTCTCCAGAAGAGTTGCCTTAGTGTTTCCGCTTAACATTTAAACTACCTTTTGAGATCTGTTCACAGCAAGGCAGTTTCTTCTGTGTCCACTGCCAGTGGCATCCAACATAAGTCTTCTACTATGGAAACTGTCTAAGCATACATGAGAATGCAATCTAGAGTATAGAAGCTAACTACTCCTTCTGTCTGAGCTCTGCAGTTGATACTCACTCTCTGAGGACAGGACTGAGTTCCTACATCCCCAGGCTAGGGAAGAAGTATAGATCCAAAACCTGTATGATACTCAGCACTAGGCAAGGAGAAACCCCTTTGCTGTGCGGTGATAGGGATGTACCTCCCCATGCAACTCCTATAGGCTGTAGAGAGAATAGTATTAAACCATGACACTTACCATCAGCCTCTCTCACAACCACAGTAAAGTACTTCACAGCTCCATTAGTATCACTAAACCAGCTGCAGTTAAAAGTAAAGTTGATGGAGGATTTGGTAATCAGCACCTCTCTTTTGTTCACCCGTATGTCTGGAGGTGGCTGAGGGGGACCTGAGTAATTTAAATAAATAATAAATAAATAAAAAATAGAGAGAAAGCATTATCTATGTACTTGCTGTGAGCTAGATCTAGTAAGGGAAATGCAATTTGTAATAAATCTCAGCCGCCTGGACCCAAGTCTCTGATTCTATTCTCTTTGCAAACAAGGAAGTGTCTTCACCTCCCACAGGGAAACTGCCAAAAGATGAAACAAGCCAGCAGTGAGTTCACCATAATAACAGTGACAGATCCTCAGTGGGAATTCCTGCAGAAGCACACATGGAAATGCATTAAAATCTTGTTAAGTCTATGAAATCAGAAATTGTAGCTACTGAAAATGACACAGGTTTAAGACAGGCATTTGGAGGCCACTTAGCACACTCACTACAGGAATTTACCTATTTTAAGCATCTATACTCCTGCTTCCTTTTCCAGAGGAACAGAGTCAGCCAGAGACAGCATTCAACTACAGAGTACCATTTTCCAGACTGACTGCAGAATTTCCATAGGAAATGTTCTTTGTATGACACAAAGGTATACCTTGAACAGTGACACAGCAGAAGTAAGCGAAGTACGCAGGGAAGAAAGTGCAGCAAAACTGGAGAATTTAAGGATCTACATTGCTGAATCTTTTAACAATCTGTATTACTGAAACTATATTGCACACATGGGAAACATCAAATACCTAAAAAGGTGGCTAAATTTCAAAAGAACCAATAATTCACGTATTTATATGTACTTTAGCTAAACCTCTTAGTTTAGCTAAACCTCTACAAAGCCTAGCTGCAATTTTTTGTATTCCCTCGAGGTAGGGTCTCCAGTGTTAACCAGGGTCTGGGAGAGCAGCAGTGTTCAAAACAAGTGACAACAAACACAGGTGAAGCACAAAATAATAACAAACGTGAAACAGTTAACCTTCCAATAGGACTCAGTCTCACTTCTTGTGACACAAATAGCTAGTTCTTACTACATCTGGATTTGCAGCATTCTTTGTGGTAGAGGAAGGAGATTACAAGGTTGCAATTAAAAGGCAATTGATGGTGGAATGGAGGTGAGTTGGTGACTGAACTCTGTAGCTTAGCTCAATAGCTCCCAAAGCAAACATTACTTTTATGATCTAGCATTTCAAAAAAATGTGGCTTTTAATAAGCAGTTATACAGGCATCCCTGAATATAGGCTTCCTGGCCATCCTGTAATTTTTGAGTTTAGCCCTGGAACGGTTCAAGCCTTTGCACTGAATGTGCCATTGAATCCTGAGGTGCTGCAAAAACTGGAGCAGCTCTAGGTCAGTGATGGCAGGCTGTTGACTGCAGTGATGCCTGGTAGTTCAGAGGCACCAGCAGATGCTACTGCTACCCTCCACTCAGCAGCCTACAGGTGGAGAAACTGAAGAAACTGGTTCAAAACATATGCTATGGATATCTGTGATGCTCCCTCAGCTAAAATTCCTGCAGGTGATTTGGTCAAGTAGCACCTCAGAAGAGTGTACAGAAACCCAAAGAGAACACAGTACCACAATCCAGTGTGCTTATTGATGCATATTTGTGCTGAGGATGGTTTCCATCCTCCAATCCGTGAGAGGAAATGGCAGACACAGGAAGCCAAGCAACAACCATGAAGACAATTGAAGGCGTGTGATGATGAGGACAGGGATAACTGTTTATGTTTCTCAGGCTATATTTCATGAATGAGCCAAATAATTGGGTCTGGTAATGTAACGAGAGGCAATATAGCCAAAATCCTGCACTGTCTGTCACAGCAGGGACCAAAGGACAGGTTCAGTCTACTTCAGCCACAAGATTAAAAGTGCCACACACTGGCAATTGTGGAGTTCAGAACTCCTTTTGCTGTCTAACCAACACAAGCAACTGCTTATTGCTGCTCACTGCCTCTCTTCAGGGCAACCCAGAATTCCACTTACGATCAATCATTGTGATGGTGCTGTCTTCAACTACTTCACTCGTCATGTCTGCAGAATGCACCTTGATGGACACCAGATATCGTCTATGGGGAACGAGGGTCATGATATTAAGTAGAGATTTGTCTTTTTCTATCCTTTTAGAAAATTCCACTTCACGAGTGTCCATTTTTTTGCATTCAATGCTATACCCATCAAAGTCAGAATCAGGAGGAGTCCAGGAACATGCGATGGCAGTAGAGGTTTGGGGCCGACAGTGAAGACTTTGTATCTTGTCTGGTTCTAGAGAAATGTTGAGAAGTTTAAGCTCAGTGAGAAAAGGGACAGGCATCGTACATTCTCTGCTGACATTACAGCTCCTAGATTCTGCATTAACCATTAGATAAGAGCAGGAGGCTGGGATTCAGAATTCCCATCTCTCCTGCAAATGTGTGTTGTCTGATTATTATGCAAGGCCTTCTAACTCATTTTAGCCATCTGAAATCAGATCTAGTGACATCAGCCCCATCAGGTTTGTGAAGCTTCAGTAATTAACTGTGAAAACAAGCCAAGAAAACCTACTCACTGAAGTCTTAACAAGAACAGCAACACTGCAAAGCAAAGGATTTCTAGAACGCTGTTACAACCAGTCAATATCGATACTGTCATCTCATGACTGATCTGGTTTCCTGGGTAGAACGTAGTGTGTCCATATTACTAAAACATACCACAGACGTATGCTTCATCCATGTAATATGGGAGCACCATTTATAACATGTGACATATAACAAAAACAGGATATCCCTTTCAGATGGCAGACATTACATTTAAGTGATTAAATACAGGTGAAATTTTAATTAATATGCTGAATTAAATCTACAGAGCTATACAGCTTACTAAACACAGATATCAGTTGAGAGCTGAATCCCATCCCAAATGACACGAGGATTTGTCAAGGCTCAGTTATTTTCACAATTCCAGGTCACTTTTTCAAATCAGCCTGTTACTGAGGTTGCTAGAGATAATATAGATCCACAGACACAGACAGAAACACAGAGTAGTGAAATACTGATTCCAGTTTCAAATCTAGTACGGCACAGTTTCATTCATCCTTCCTGTCTTATCATTCAGAAATATTTTATTTCAATATCCTACTGTCAAGAGAAGTTTGCATATTCAACCTCATTTTACCCCTGAAACTGACTGATTCAGGCTCTGCAACCAAACAGTCCCACTCTGGATGTGAGAATTATAAATGTATGTACATTTTCAATCTTTTAAACAGTTGACCTTGCACACAGCAAGGGCTTAGAATGTAGCTGAATTCACCACTGAATTCATGAATTAATTAACAGAGATTACTATGTAACAAATTGGTAAGATTTAACAGTTTTGCATCTTCTCCAGCTGAGTGTTAGGGTGCAATGGGAATTGTTACTTACTCGTTCTCACACTTGCAGACTGTGACTGACTGTATGTCTTCCAGTTGTCACCACTGACGGTTCTGACGCTGAACTCATAGAGTCTTCCCGGTCGCAGGCCATAGATGATACGTACTTTAGATTTGCTGCTGCTGTAGGGATTGAATACTGTGAGGGGATCCTTTGGAAGCCACTGCAACTCAAAATCGTCATAGTCTGTCCAGTCTGGAGGACCCAGCCACGTGACTGATAAAGAAGTGTTTGCAACATCAGTAAACGATACAGTGTTAGGGGGGCTGGGTGCTACACAGAAAGATGGGGAAAAAGGAAAGAAGAAAAAGAGATTCTTAACAAATTTTTACACAAGACAAATAAGATGAAACATGCATTATTTTCTTCATGCAGCACAAAGTAGTCTGTTATCCTGTGTACACAGCCAGCTACCACACCTGTGCTGATGATGGTCACTTTCATGGACATTACATATTCCTGAGCCTTTGGAAGAAAAACAGTGATGACTGTTTTTCTTTCACTCTCCATCAGTTTAACATACTTAAAGTTATTCTTTATCTTTTCACCTTCAATGATTTATGTAATGAATCCTTTCTCAGAATAGGTCTGTTGCATAGTTGTGAACTAATATGAATTCAGACAGATGGGACAAAAGAAGAAATCCCATACCTGTTCTTCCTTCAGCGTTTGCTGTGTTGATCAGGTCACCACTGTGAGTCACCACAACCAAAGTGTACTTTCTGCCAGGAATGAGCCCCTGGAAATGCCACTCTTTCAGGTCTTTCCTTTGCCAGGTTTCTTTCTGTGTCCCATTTGGGTTGTAAAGATTCAGCTCATAGAAGTCAACATCTCCTGCTGCTGGACCCCAGGTGAACCACAGACTGTCTGTCATGTTTCGGTTGGATGCCTTGAGACCAACGACTGGGGCAGGTACTGAAAAAAACAGGAACGAATATTTTTTTATGTAGAACATCCTTAGGGTGAGAAGAAGCAACCAGACCTTACACTTATCCTGTAACAACAGTCATGTAATAAAACTAGTAGCCACCACAGCTGGCCAAAAAGCCAGGAAGCACCAGGAAGCATCCTGGTAGCATCAGGAGCTGATTCTTAGTTTGAATGGCCACTGTTCCCAAGAGAGGTTGAAATGTTTATAATGGACAGTTTTTCAAGTGTTAAGCAGCTTTTTCCCAGTCAGTGTTTGGAAACATCCAATTCTGAGACAGCTAAAGAAAGGACACCACTGCACAGACACAGTCTTACGGAGGGGTCACTATATGGTGCCTCACTAGAATAAAGAAAGGTTTCACAAGGTGCTAGAGTTGCTAAAGCTGTTTAGAAAACTCTGCTTCCCACATGTGACTGAACAAACACAGAGCTGCAGCCAGAGCTCCCATTGGGAAAAAAGTTTTATTTCACTAGTAGATTGCTTTTCCCATTAACCTGACTTGGTTTGCCTTTTTGCCTTTTCCACTCATAGACCAATACTGCTTTCAGGATGGGAGACAGCCATTTCCCCTTAAGGCTTAAGCAGCATACATTGATATGCTCTTTTCCTGACTTGAGTTCCTAGGAACTATTGTAAAGTTTTTTGCTTAATTTTTCCTGCTGTAACCATGTCATTCAGAATTTACCTTTTTATTTAGCTAATGTTTTTTAAACATAAGAGACAATTTTGATATTTCTAAAAGTTGCTTTAATCTAGTATGAGCATCAGACTCAGACCAGCTCACTGGTGTCCCCCATGAGCACAGGTGGTTTTCTTGGATGTTCTTGCCTGTTCTTCCAAAGATAGATGACTCGTTAGTGAGGTCTCCACTGTGGGTAACAATCACCATTCGATACATCCTGCCTTGACGTAGGTTCTGGAATGAACACTGCTGGAGGTGCTGCTCTCCTGAAATCCTGTCATGAAGGGATTTGTCTGGGTTGTACAGGAAGATGTCATATGAATCAAGCTCCCCTTGCGAGGTGGTCCAGCTGAAGGACAGTCGATCAGTGGTGTTCTCTGTGACTTTCAGATTTGTAACAGCTGCTGGAACTGCAAAGAAGGATAAATGTAAGAGTAAATACCAAAGAGTCTAGCCACTAAGCTGAACCTTTAGTAAAGTAACAACTCATGGCTGGAATACATCTCAATTAAGCCACAAGTAGCTAAAAAATATCAATAGCAACTGTCAGAAACAAGAAGAAAGCATTTATGATATGCCAGTGAATCTTCTCCGATACAATACTTGTATTTCCCAGTGGGCCTGATTCTCCAGCCTGTACTCACACAGAATTGTCCATCAGTTTCAACAGGAATCTTCAAATGAGTAAAGACTGCAAGCAAGACGTGGCACTTGGCTCTGAGTTTAGAGGTGTACGTTAACATCAAATCCTACACTAAGAGCCTCGAGATTATGATTTAAAAACCTGATGACAATAAAGCATTCAGGTAGTTCCACAACAGACCAACCGAGGGAAGCATTCAGCACTTTGGTTTAACATCCTTATTATGAACCATGGTCGCGTTATTATGATAACAAATTTCGGATTGACATACCAAGCACATATCAAGAAAAATGATGCATAAATATCTGGAGTTTGTTCCTTACTAGAATCTTTCCAGATATACAGATGATTCATGTATTTAATGATATCTGACTGAGGGAACTATAAATAAACCAAGATGTTCTAATTACCTGTTCGGCCAACAGTTTCTGCACGCTTACTGAAGAGCCCACCACTGACTGTCAAAACTTGTATTTTATACTTCTTGCCAGCTAATAAATCTTCAAATTTGTGCTGTTTGGCAGCAGCTGGCTCTGATTTGTTGCTCAGGAGGACTCCTTGTTCATTCAAGAGCAGAATGTCATATCTCTCAGCTACACCAGGAGCTTTCTGCCAGGTTACTAACAAGGAATGACTGCTGTAAGCATGATCAGCTAATAATTCCTGGACAGAGGCTGGAACTGGAAACAATTAAAGGTAGGACATTACTAGGTGAAATACAGACCATTCAATACACAAATATGAGTGAAGTAATTAACAGAACATAACTTCATATGCTTTCAAGTTCACTTGTGGGAAAAGCAATGTCTGCATATGTTGATCAAAACAAATAATTCCTAGACATAAATACAATCAGACAAATGTAAAGAGCATCATGGACAGCTGAACTGGGCATGGAGAAGCAAGAGATATCTATAAACTATCATGAAAAGAGGGAGAAGGAGAGTGAGATGAACTGACCAAAACAGTTAATAAAGGCATATGAGAAAAAAAATGAAAAATAAAGTGGTAAATTGGTGCAAAATAGTGGCACAAAAAAGAAAATGTTAGCCAGCAGCTGTTGCACAAGGCCACAGATAATTAATACATGTAGATGCTAAAGAGAGAGAATAGATTAAAAGCAAGCTGTTGCATTGTTTTATATGTTCTGATGTGCAGGATACTGGAGCAATACATTGTCTAACAAGCCCTGATCATGCAATGGGCTCTGCTAAAACACGAGAGGGATGGCACTGCACTCATCCCATGAAGGCAGACTTTGGGCTGGGGACTTGAATTCCACGCACATTCACCCAGGTAAAGCTACTCATGTGACACGTCTCACTGGTATCAACAGACCCATGCTAAGTGTTTGCAAGAGTCATGACTCTTTGATACGAAGTCCAATATGTCACTCATGAGTCTGGGTGTCCCCATACCCAATAGTACCTTCATAAACATTATTGAATAAGGGTCAGTTTCTGGGAAGACATAATGCAACTTGCTCCTTATCTCAAAAGAAACGTACTTGTTCTCCCAAAAGCTGCTAAGCTGTTGTGCAAGGTGCCACTGTTAGACTGCACCACCACCCGGTACTGCTCCCCAGCTTCCAGCTTGTGAAATGTGTGCTCAGAAACATGTTTGGAGACACTCTGGGAATCAAGCTGATGGTTTTGCTGAAATATGGTCACCGTATAGGAATCAACATCTCCACCTCCAGGAGTCCAGCTCACTTTCAGGCTGTTTGTCATGCCATTAGGTGACACGTGAATGTTTCTGACCACGCTTGGAACTGAAAAAAAAAGGGAACAAAAAGGCACCTGCTCACAAATTTCCTGTTTGATCCAGACTTTCTACTTTCTACCTTTTAATGGCCACAGCAAATGATTCAAAGGACAAAGATCATTTACAGGAACGAGTAATTTCAGACACTGGTAAACACAAGTAAAGTTGAAGACATTTGTGTAGGATTACGCCATTTTAGAAAAGCAATTCTCTGTTTTCATAGGAGCAAAAGCAAACACAACATAAACAAAAAAGTTTCTGCCTCCTTTTATTTGCATAACCTCCCTCTTGTCCAAATGATATTTTGAAAACATCTCAAAAAAAATCAAAGCTCTTCATGTACCTTAGTTAATTAGCCATTCTGCAGTTATTATCTCACCCATTCATTTCAGGTGGGTAACAGAGGTGTAAAATAGTGATTTAATACAGATACTGAGCAAACAACTGGTGTGCATGGGAATAACAGAAACCCAAACGCTGACACTTCAATACCATTCCCATGCAACAAATCAGACGATCTGCCAATAATCAAATATTGGTAACTGTGACATTTGTTTATTAAGCAACAGATCAATTTGTTTGCAGTACTAGTGTGATTTTCAATGAGATCTGATGTCTTTGAGCCAGTGTTACAGGAGCTCAAATAAGATCATGGTTCACCTTTGATTTTCAGTGCTTCATTCTAGAGAAGCCTCAACACATTTTAAATGCCACATTATTTCTTACTTGTCAGGCCTTCTATGAAAGTAGCACGTTGTGCATCTCCACTGATGGTCAAGACAAGAATTTTGTATAGACGTCCTGGAGTCAGAGCTGTGAACCAATATTCCTCAATGGTGTTCCCAAGGAAAATGGGTGGGAAGATCTTCATATCATTGAAGAGGAGTTGAATCTCGTATTTATCAACATCCCCCTCAGCCTTTGACCAAGTTACCTGCAGATCTTCTGTGGTCCTGTTACTAAGAGTCAGTTCCTTCACTGACTCTGGCACTGAAGAGGTAAGAAGAAAGATAGGACACGTCTCAGTACTTACTAACAGATCACAGCAAAAAGCTAACAGCTCTGAAGCCACGCTTCTGAGCTAAAACTTTTCATTCAGTTCCCTAGGAAAAGCAGTATATTGCAGTTATTTGGGTGGTTTGCACCCCATCTAACACTGGAAGGTCCCATTTCAGAACTGGAGTCCCCAATCTATCAGCATATAAATAATAAATGAATAATAATGGAGCCTGCAGGGAGTTTGCCTAGCCAACAGAAACTGAGTAAGATCTCATGTACAACAAATATGGTGCAAAGAGGCCTGAGCTAGCGCAGAGCCAAGGCAATCCATCTGTGGGATGCAGCACCACAATGTGCAGTTTCCAGCTCCTGCCAGGCACAGGTCAGTTGTTTTTGCCCAGTGCTACATCTGTGTTAATAAACTCAGTTGTCTCAGCATGGCTCCTTAACTCACATGCAGTGCTAGGTGAAGACAGGTAGATTGCCTCCAGATCTCTGCTGTCTCACGACTAGCCACCTTACTACCCCTGCTCCATGCTCTCCAATTCCAGTTCTTGGGGTAGTTTGAGTAGACTAAGGTCTAGTCTATCTTCTTCTTTATACATTTCCATGACCAGAAAAAACTATCTTGTACATTCCGGCATAATTTAATTATAAATAGTAAGCTTACGTGGAAAACTGTACCACTGTTTTCCAGTTTTCAATGGTTCAAGATTTGCTTTCCAAAATCACAGCACAGGTCTCTTCATTCACTTTTTATATGTTTGTAACTTAAAAGCTGGTCATAAACTAAAAACTGTTTTCTGTATTTGGAATAATACACATTCGAAGAGACACAGCAACATTCTATGTTAAAATCATATCAGATTTTTGTGCCTGGGTATGGGAAATAAAAAAAAAAAGAGGTGTCTCAGAATGTTTCCAGGGTGTTTACTTACTTGTTCTGCCATAGACCCTTTCACTAGTTTCGTATTTCCCACTCCTTGTGCTGACCGTGACACTGTACTGCCTCCCTGGGACCAGATTAGTGAACACACATTCATTTTCATCCTTTGGGACACTTTTTGTTTGGATGAAATCGTTGTTGTTCCTGATGATCACTTCATAATTATCAAAATACCCAGATGCATGTAACCAGGACACCTTCAAGTAGTCACTTCTGGCTGAATTGCTGACAGTAAGTCCCTGAACACTTGAAGGGACTGAAAGAAAAAAACACAGTTAAAGATTCATAAAGCAATAACTTTCTGAACTAACTGGAGTTGCGGTAGTGGACCATATTTGTGGTAATTACTAGGCTTTTGTAAGGAAGTTGCAAAAAGACCACAATGTGGATTTAAGCAATAAAAGAGTAACTGCGGTTTCCAGGCTGCTTTATATCATATGACAATGGTTTGCCTTTCCAATTTTTGGTCTTAAGGAACTTGGTCAGTTTTGCTTATAGTACTGAGTTCCACAGGTTCACACTAATCCTGAGTTTAGTCCTCCATATTTACAGGGCTGTTCCTTGAATTTTCACTTACATCATGAGAAGACTAAAATTCCTTTAACTTGATACTCTTTGCCATTTTAACACCCCTTACCATCTTTCTTTTATTCTACTGGTTTATCAAGTATAAAGTCTCAGTCTTTTCAATCCTTGAGAAAATTTTAAAAAGCTTCCCATCATTATTGCCATCCTTTTCTGACATTTCTCTATTCCTGTTATAATATTCTGGAACTCGGCATGACCAAAACCATAGATACATGTGTTACAACACTAAAACCAATTGACATGGATGTTAGTCATTATTGTGATACCTTGCTAACATTGCACTAGTTAGCCTATCCTAACCTGTTCTTTCAGTGCTTGAGTAACTTTCTGGGGAGACGCTCTGCCGGATATACTTGAAGAGCCAAGTAGAGGGGTTAAGGGCAGAACAACGCATTTGAACCAAAACTGATACATGATTTCTGCTCACTCCTAAGGACCGACACGATTTTTATTCACACTAAAGAATTTCTGTAGGACGTAAAGCAGTAACAAGGGCATAAGAATAAAACTAAGTCTATAAAGCTGTAATTTTATGGTTTGAGCCTCCAACCCCTACGCGTCTATCCCAGATTGATCAGATATTGATAAATCATTGAATGGCTATACAAAGTGGTTACAGTGATTGGATTTGTTCAGAGCCTCTCTTTACCTGTTCGTTCCTGGCTGAAGGTATAATTTTCATACTTCCCACTCTTTGTGGTTATCATCACTTTGTAAAGTGTTCCAGGAGTAAGGTTGCTGAAGGAGCATTCACTGAAGGATTTGGGAATGGTGAGAGTCTGAACAATCTGGTCATGGTGAGAGAGTGTTACCAAGTAACTGTCTACATCTCCAGAAGCTGGCAGCCAAGACACACTGAGGTAGTCACTGCGACCTGAGTTATTTACTGTTACTCCAGTCACGCTGGAAGGAACTGTGCAACAAAGAGGAAAAACAAAAAAAACTTTAACTAGTCAATTCTTATTGTTGTAGGAATGCCTGGAATACTATCCCCTGCAAAATAAGCAGTCTGGGACTCCTGAAAAGTACTGCACTGATTCCCACTTAGCAATGTTCAACTGCTTTTTTGAATATAGTGAAGGAAATTGTCTTTGGTGGCGTGATCCCAGCACTTCTAAAATCCCAGAAGTTGAGTTATCCTCTCAAATTGCCATTCCTCAGTAACAGCAATAACTACTGAGGCTGGTAGGACCTTGAGGCCCATAGCTGAATGTGTTTCATTTCCAGTGAGTTCTCTGACGCCTAGTGGCCAAAACAGGAATGCCACTTGTTTTTCAAGGTGAGCTCAAAGGTTCCACATTGCCAGAACTACATCGCATGTACAAAACTCTCAGAGGTATTACATTGGCAGAGCTTAAAAATAATGAACTGCCACATTTTCACTGGACTCTGATGCACTGAACTGACTTACCTCTGTAGAGGGGCTGGCCATCAGCTATCAGAGACAAAACCCTCAGATTTTACAAAATGTTTATGTACTTTAAGCCTTTTAGTATTATTCTTCTCCAGTTGTTTTTTCAGGTTTGTTTTTGTTTTTTCCCCTGAAAACAGTTGTTTTCAAGGAGAACATTGAAGCAAACTGCAGAATGCTTGGCCTTTGCCAAATTCACATAAAGGGTGAAATTGCACTGTGTTGTCAAAGTTTTCCTCTATCTAAATATCCAAACAACTGGTACTATATTTCATGAGTCTTTAAACTTAGAGAATTTGATGCAATAGTAAATCCTGTGCTATGCAGTACAGAAGAGCGTCATAATGAGTAATTAACCCTGGCGGACATTCTTTGATGGTGCATTAGAGAAAAAGAATGGGGCATGAGAAACTGAAACACAGATTCATCCCACTACCTTTAGGCAGACAGTTGGCACACCTAAGTAAGGAGCAATCACTCTACACCACCATGTAGTCAATGGAACAAGAAAGTCTCTTCCAAGGAGTGATTCACCACCACAGCTGTACATTACTCTCAGGGTATATTTTTGTCTTTATTACAGAGTGATCCTGCTGTATGGAATTCCTGTTGTAGGCAGAGCAGTTAGCTCCCTAAAGCTATGTTTACATGAATCTGGACCCACAGTGTGCCTGAGGTCACATACAGGAATTATATAGATGAAAGTTCCATAATTCTGGATTCTCAGTGCAGTGGCTTAATCACAAGCCCATTCTCTTTAATAAATTCATCTTTTAAGAACTAAGAAAAGACATGCTGGAGTATTTTCCTTTTTACCTGTACTTCCCTCTGCAATCTTTTGCCTTGAAGATATCCCTCCGCTGACAGTGGTGACAACAACTGAATAGAGTCCTCCAGGTTTCAGAGCATAGAAGTGATATCTGTTGGTTTCACTGGGAACAGTGTCATTTTTAATGACAACATTCTCGTGAATCAATAGCACTTGGTATGAGTCTACATCTCCCGGAGCTCTTGTCCAGTTGGTGAATAAGCTGTTGGTTGATCCCTGACTTGCCACAATCAGATCAGTCACTTGGGCTGGCACTGAAAATAAAATTGTCTTAATATTACTGAGGAGAAACAAAACAAAACAGAATCCCCCAAAGAACCCAAGTTTAGTCACACTGAGGAAGTGCATCAAAAGAACATTCCAATTTGCAGCCAGACTCAACAGGACTAAAAATAATCTAACTGTGGACTGCTTCCTGTCTGTTGGGATGTGGTCTATGGGAAACTAAGTAAGTCACAGAAAGGTCTTTCAGGCTTTAGCACAGCTTTTCTCAGCCAGACCAAAATTATTCAAGATCAAGGAACTGGAAGAGATGGTATTTTATAAATATCATTAAACAAAACCCATCAATTTAAGAAATCACATGAGTTCTTTTGATGACTATTTCAAATACAGTATGTGTCTTTCATTCTCCCTTTCCTCTCCTATTTCCATCTTTCATTCCTAATAAATGGCAAGCTTGTTTAAGGAATACCTCAGGCACAGTCATCTATGCTGTGTTAGACCCCTGAATTTTGGGCATAACTGAGTGGGATGGTTTTGGTTTTACTTTTTACATCAGAAGATCTGCAGGATATCAACTTTTATAGCATCAAAAGATGAACTGTTAAACAAACATAACATTTATCCAAGTATAACCTCGTTAATTTAGTCAGACCAAAAAGGATAAAGAAATAACAAAGGAATGTAATATGTTGCCCAAACTTTACTGCAAATCCTCTTTTTTTTATTTAAGTTGACAATATTTGGCCAAAGCAAGGAAATACAGTTACTTCTTGCTAAGTATTTCTGATTACAGGACCAAGTACAACTGAAATACAGAAGATTCCAACTTTATAAAATATGATTGCACTCTTCATCTCCTTTTATGTCAACCTTTTTGCATACATAGTACTGGATTAGCAATCATTAACGAAAGCTATAAAATTAGGCACATAGCATTATAAAACAGAAAGGATTTTTGATTCAGTTTTTTATCAACTTTACATTTTTTTTCAACTATCATGACCTAGTAAGCTCCAACAAGACACTGAAGTGCCACATTTCTGCGCTAAACGCACTTTTAGTGGTACCTCAAGTGTCACTGGAAGCTGACCAATCTGGGATGCATGTAAGACCTATTTCTGTCATATTCCCAGCAATATTTTTCAAGCCTGTCCTGCTGCTAGGAAGATTCAGAGGTTTGGAATGCTTATTCGAACCTATGCTCAAATTAACTGACGTTCATTCCTTTTAACTCATTTTCAATGTAATGTTGACACACTATCCCTGTCTGATGGGTTTTGAAGCATTGATTCATACTAGTGAAGTGGGACACCATAACCTTTATGCCTGAATAGGCCTCCTAAAGGGGCATAAGTCAGACGGAAGTGAAATTCCAGCTATCTAATCACATAGCAGAGAAATGAATGTGTAAGTTAAACTTATCAGGCCTTGGAAGGAGTAACAAAATTTAAGCAAGGACCACTATCAAGCCATTGGTATGATTAGATTCAGACACTAGCAGATTGTTTTTCACTGTGCTGTGCCAGACCAGAGCTACATTTTAAAACTTTGTTTGCATCGGAGAACCCTTAAGTCAAGCAGAGTAAAGCATCACATATGGTTTAAAACTTTGCACACCTGCATAGAATTAGCACCCTGCAGGGGGTGGGAATGGGACCTTTCTTGTGACAGCAATCATGCCCATAACAGATACATATGCTGGAATCCAAAGAGTAGAAAGATTCAAAATACATCTTCAAGGTCACATATGTTTTGTGTCTGTCACCCTCAGAATGTTCCCCCTAAAGTAACATTTTCTGTGTGGTGATGTTTGTTTTTTTCCCAGATGATGAATGCTTTGAATCAAGGAAGTGACCTTCCTGAAAGTACGCAGCGAAAATTTTTCTTCTTATATGGAATATTGTGCTAGTGTAGATTGATTAGACATGACATAATACCTCAGAAAACTGTTTTGCCAGGAATTACACATCCATTTCCCAAAAATATTAAATAAGTACTGCAAGATAACTGACAGTCAGAAATCAGAGGCTCAGAAACACAACTTTTGAAACGAACATAAGATCAAGATGTTTGAGATTTAGACACCGAGTTAATTCATACAAAGCAAAGAAAATCATTAATAGTTAACAGAAGAAAAGATTAAAACAGTTTGACAATACCTGTTCTTCCTTCCACTGAAGTCCAGTTGCTTAAAGTCCCGCTAATGGTAGTGATGGTAGCTGTATATTTTCTTCCTGGTACCAAGCCAGTGAAAGTGAATTCCTTAGCTTCTTTGTCAAGCTCTTTTTTTATGATAGTAAGATCACTGTCTCCCAGGGAAACCACATAGCTGTCCCATTCTGCAACAGGGGTCATCCACATGACACTAAGTGAAGATTCATTAGCATGCTTCACACGGAGCTGGAGAACAGGTTCTGGAGCTGTAAAGGTACACAAATATCACAAGGAGAACAGGACTTTGTAGTGAACGCACTTGCCATGCCTCGAGCTGCTGTGAGAAATCTGTTCCGTAAGACAGATATGTGACAGCAAGAGAGTATTTGCAGTCAAGAGGAGATTCTTTACCTTTCTCTAGGAAGCCATTCTTATAAATCTAGTATTTGTGCTACTCTTCCAGCAAAGGGCTGTAGCAACAGACTTCAGCAATGGCTTATGGCTTAGGTTTAAACTTACGTAAGGATATATATTTTAGTATAAATGGAAACACAGGAAAGTCAGTGAACTTCCTCTTGAACTCTGGGTGCTAGACAAGGATATAAGACATTTGTACCATAAAACAAATCTTCACTAATTTAGCTCTAACAAACAAGGATGCAAATTATAGGGTCAGAGTGACATTGATTTTGCAGTGGTTTATAGCTCAGTCAAGTTGAGAGACATTTCAAACTTACGGTGGTATAAAAGAAAGAATTCCATCAGTGAACTTCTGTGTGTTCATGTGTGTGTGTGTGTGCATGCATAAACAGCAGGCATGTTACCTAATGTAGTCTCCAATCTGATTCTGTCCCTCTCACGTTGAAATACAACTCACTTTCCAAGGCTGTGGGTTTATGTAAGAGAAAATTAAATTACAACAAATTGCTATGCTTCATAAAAGATACACTGTGGACCTGACTGTGGGTCAAACACAGTTGTGATACACTGCTGGGTATTATCTAATGGACTATGTCCTAATTACAGAATCATAGAATCACTTAGGTTGGAAAAGACCTCTAAGATCATTGAGTCCAACTATTAACGGCTTAGCTGACTCAATTAAAAGTAACACCATAAACTTAAATTATTTGCAACATATGTCAAGGTAAGGAAGGTGAGAATGTGCCTTGCTCTGACCAAATTTGCTAGAAGTTAGAGAAAGCTTCAGTTCTGTAGTTTCTACTAGTCTTGCTGTTGTGTGAAATTAACAAATTACGGTCTCAGGGAATGACAGGTAAGGGTATAGCAGGATAGAGTGGCCCTATCTAATCTCACATTCTGCAGTGAGGTAAGGCTTAGGCTTGAGCCTTACCTCTTATTCCCCCTTCAGGTCTTCTTTCCTCTGAATTGTACTTATTCTGTATCCATAGAGCAGAAATTCTAGCAATTATATTACAATTATTTTTTAAATTTGAAGTAATCAGATGTGGCTTTCACTAACAAGCTGCAAAAGAATTCCACTCTGTCCTTGAAGTATACATGGATTTCCTTTGGAAAGACTGACTTGAACCGACTAACCTCATTTTCTTTATGGAGCAAAGGAACAAGAATTGGTATGCTATGGAACAGCCACACTAATATACACCTCAGGAAGCTTTGGTTAACACTGCTGATATTCTTTATACAGACTGGCAAAGAAACATACTGATGAACAATACAGGAAGACCTGTGCTGCTCTCTTTAAGAACTTTATAGGGTGCCTCCAATCAGCTACAAAATATAACAGGTGAAGTGCAGATGTAATGTAATGCCCCAGTCATGACAGAATGGCGATATAGTTCCTAAAACTTTCACTAACAAAACAATTACCACAAAAATAACCCTGAAAGTTTTCACAGAACTGCTAATACCAATTGTTTCTGTAGTTTACAAGGGAGTTTCTTTTTACGGTATTAATGTGAAATTCGTCTGTGGATTCCCAAGTAGTCTTTGAGTGTTCACAGCCCAGCTGAACATTTTGCACTCTCACACTGACCCGTTCTCCCTGTGCAACTAGTCTTGCTCTGCAAATCACCGCTCTCCACAACAACATCCACGCCGTACTCCCTCCCAGGGATGAGGCCCACGTCGCAGATGAGGTATTCGGTAGTGTTCTTCTCGAGGGTGGTGTTGAGCAGCAGGGCCGTGCGGTTCCAAAGGAGCAGGTGGTACCTCTCCCAGTCTCCCGCAGGGGGCAGCCAGGTCACTCGCAGAGACCTCAGCCAGCCACCAGAAGTGGCCTGCAGCTCTGAAACGTTCTGGGGAACTGGAAGAACAGAGCAAAAAAGTAATACTGAAGTGGAGTATTTCTGGTGAGACATAACTGCACGCTGGAAAAACCTGTCTTGTAGCATAGCTATTGTACAAGTACCTGGACCAGCTAGAGCAATGTGAGGTATCTTGTCGGAAAGGTTGGCTTTCATTTTAAAGAAAACTTTTACTCTTCCGCACACAAACCACTCACTTTTTTCCTGCTGGTTTCTGACATCAGAAATGGGAAACCCTTCTCGGGGCAGGCAAAATCTCCCCTGTGCATTTCTTGGATGCATCTCTTGGTTTTCAGTTAGCTTCCCTGTTGCTTCCTGCACTTAAGTTCATGCAGAAACTGTCAATCAATTTTTCGCACCTAAAGTCAAAACCTCAACTGCTACGGGTCAAATTCTAGCCTCAGCAGCAGAAATGCAAAGTCTGATGGCTTATTCCACAAAGATAGCTTCTTCCACCTTTGTATGCCCTAATTCTTCCCAGCTGTAAGGTACCAGTTAAAACTGAGGTCAATTAAAGCCTCTACTCCATCCTGTCCTGCACTTCAAGGGTCCTGAATTTACATGCTCAACCTTCTCGCCCTACTGCTGCAGGTCACACTGGACCACTGAAGTTTTTCTGATTTTCATGAAATAATTAAATATTAACCATACCAAGCAGAGATTGGAAGACAGATGCAGACCCGTAGGTCAGGATACCTCTAGCTTAGTATTACAATATTCAGAGATCACCATTGGAGCCCTGAGATCATTAGCAAGTATTAACTGTAAACTACTAAGGCTAGAATCATGCTCTCATGTTTTATCTGGCTTAGTTAATACTTGATTGCTTAGTACCTAGCACAAGATTGCAAGATTTCTACCAGCACCACAAAATACTCACCAGTTTTACTTCCTATGTGTATCTAAGTATCAAATCTAGAACTCCCATATGCCAGTGAATATGTGAGATGTGTTTCAATCTCCGAGTGAATAAAAGCGCACTGTTTTGTTAGGAAGCACAGATGTACTTACATCATAACAGATAAAGTTCAGCCTTGTCAGGCTGGCTGGACATCTTTATACCTGTATGGTACAAAGTTTCAGTCTCTGAGATATCCATATTTCTCACCACAACATTCCTTGGCAGGTTCTGCTGTTGTAGGCACCCTCTCAATACACAGCAATGTATATTATGTTCTTGGGCACCTGGCTCTCTGAGTTACAGAGGGATCCTAAGAATATCTATAGACCTGACTGCCTGGATTCAGAAATTTATCCTTAGGCCACTAAGCTTCTGCTGAAGTGATTCTGTTTTCAAAGCTCTTGGTGTCTATGGCAGAGTCAAAGGAAGGAATTGCACATGATCAGCATCCTTGGAAATGGGACTTCTAATCTCCAGCTTTCAAAGCACTGGGTCTAGGTCACAAATCTGGAGATCAGTGGCACTGAGTGAGGCCTGAAGCTCTCCTTTTAGATGGAAATGGTAATGTTAAAGGACTTATATGGTAGGCTAGACCAACAAAACAGACGTGCATGTTACCAGTCCAGCTTTGTACTTACTGGACATGAAAGACTTTTCAGGGCTCTTCCAGCCTGCACTGAGAACGGGATAGCAACTAGATATGTCAAGGATGTGCCTTTCACATGAGATGTGTAGTTGTAGATGAGAAATATTTTCTAAAATAAATATTCGGCTCTCTCACACACATACACATTTTCTATTTTTTGGCTCTGAGTCTACTAACAATGTACGTATGCGTTCTTCACCCACTTTTACATTTTTATCATCTAACTTTGAGTTGTGCTAGGCTGGTGTGGAGAATATGACGGATCTCTGTGTCCAGTAATGCTGTGGGAGAATTATGCCAGGACTTTTCAGGTTCAGAACTCATACAAGAGATACTTGAAAGAAAATTATTATTTCTGAAAGAAAATAAGAAACTCGTAACCCAGCTCTATCCAGGCTACCACAAGCCTTTGTTAATCCAAGCCGTATATAGTAAAGAAAGCTGAGACCTAATCTCTTCTGGTTTGCAGATTTGTGTCTGGAAAGACCAATAAGACTGGACCTTGCAAAATTACTTTAAAACCTGTTAATAATTTGACTACATGCACACTTCCCCATAGTGTAACTCCTTCTATATACTATGCTAAGTTGACTTCAAGATAACAAAGTTGGTCAGAAGTGCAGTTGTGTGCAACAGTTTTGTAACAAACTCACTTAACTATAAGGTCCAAAATGCACTACTGTTGCCTGCTTACAAGATATGCTGGAGTTGCTTTTGACTGACAGATTAACTATTGCCAGAGAGTCAGAAAGGGGTATTCCTGAAAAAATATTGTGCTCTTTATCTTATTTTGCCTGGAATCCAAACCATTTTCTCTTACAATGATTTTCTACAAGGCCAATGTAGGCAAAAATAGCATTATTTACAATATTCTTACTGAAGCAGAAGACTTACATGTCCTGCCAGTTGCCATCCCATCAGTAAACAGTTCACCACTGATTGTGCGGGCAGTAACCTGATAAAGACGTCCTGGAGTTAGCTTATCAAAGTGAGTCTCGGTGATTGGTGGCTGCACAATTTTGACTCCTTTAACTGATCCAAGATGAGACAGAGTGATATTATAGAAATCGAAGTTTCCCAAAGGTTTTCTCCACTTAACTTTTAAAGCATCTAAGCTGTCATCATTAGTCACTGTCAAATCTAAGACTTCAGCAGGGGCTAAAAAAGAGAAAGTAAGAAAGAGAATAAAATACATCCACCACAAAACATATAAGACCTGCTGTCTCCAAACTTCCATAGTTGAGTTTTGCTGTTGAACAGTTACATGAGATGGAGTATGAACAATTTTGCCTGAACAGTAAAAGGCCAAAGTCTGGTCACAGGGAAACTGAACCCAGCCCTGTGTAAGACACTGTACTTCTGAGAGAGACATGTCTTATGATGACCGCTCTTACTTCATGGAACAGAAAATCTTTTAGCCATGTCTGCACTCACACTAGTCACTTTGACCATAAAACAGATCGTGCACACGCTCCTAACAGACGCCTGCATACATTTCGGTAAACATTATCGCGTTACTGCACCCATGTCTGATTTACACCAGCCTAAACGGGATTTGAATAAAACTCCTTTATTCAAATGCTCCACCAAAAGAAAAGCATAGCCACCTCCAGTATCTTAATTACTCAGGCCTGAGGCACAGTAGGTACTGAAATGGAGGACTGTGCTGCAAGCTAGATGGTGTGCGTTTACATTCTAACAATACCTGTGAGATTTAAAATTATTGCACCCCACAACAGGAAGAAATAAAAAAGTCTGAAGAAATAAAATGAAACAAGAGTAATCCCCAAAACAGCCCAGTTGACAACAGCACTCATCTGTATGTCTTAGACACGACAATACTGTTTACGTAAATTACGTCTACGTGATGACATTTCTGTAGGAGAAACTGTACCTTGCTCTTCCCAGAAATTAAGGAAAGCAAAGGCTGGTTTTGCCTATGTAAGTGTTTTAACTATTGGACTCTAGTAGGATGTCACCTTATCTTTATCTTAATGACCACAGAACACTGTCCTAAAAAACCTTCCTAAAAAAAATCTAAAACTCTAGTTCTGTGGATCAGTATTTCTTTGTGAAAAGAAAAGAAACAACCCACAAAACCCCAAATCAAACCAAGCCACCAAGCAAACAAAAACTCCAAACAACCAAACAACCCAAAACCACCAACATTCAATTTTAAAGTTCTTAAGCTTCTCCACATTTTTTTCCACTTCCTTTTCAGAAATGCAGCTATTTTGAAATTCAGAGAAAAAAAGCCACAGAAAATATTTTTTTAAAAAACTCACAAGCTCTTTATCTCCCATTCAGGTCAGTATGAATCATGGAATTAAACTGTCTTTAGTACTTTCACTTCAGTGAAATAACCAGACTACACACTGCCCCAATTCACTGAAGAAGTTGCTACAGGAGTCAGGGCACTGGGGCTCAGATTGTTAACACCTAACTTTACATGTTTAATGGAGCTGCCCACATTAAGCAGTGCAGCTAAATTAGCTGCAGACACACTATGAGCTAATTTACCTGCTAACTTTGTTGAGTGGTAACTTAAGGAGTTAAATAAGCTTACGGGGTTTCTAACTTGGAACACGAATCACTTTTTATTCTGAAATATGTCCTATAATATTATTAGATTATGGCCTTAGCTTCTTGTTTTGTTGTGACGAATTCTGAAATCATGCCTGTCCTGACTGTTTGAAAACTGCTGCTCTCCCATCCCGCAGCCTGGGTTATGATAGAAAGGTTATAAAGGTGGCCTGCTGTAAGTCCTGAAGAAGTGTAGGAGGTCAGAGAATCTTCCTGATGAATCTCATGAACTCGGACATGATTATCTAGTAACACCAGCCTGTAACAATCCACATGCCCAGAGCCAGGAGACCATGAAGCATGGATAGTGTCTGTCTTGACACTGACTTGGATATTTTTCACAGGGGATGGCACTGTTGGTATAGAAAAAACACATGCCTAAGTTCTAACCGTTATCTCCATGATCTCAGCAATTTTGAATAGATTTACTTTTGAAAGATGTTTGGTTTCTGTAGGGTTAGTGAAAACCCATTCCCAAATACACAATACCAACATGACTCCACTCCATTCTTAGCAAACAATTCTTTACGTTAGTCAGATATTCCTGTTTTATTTCTATTTATCATCAATAGGTACTTCCAAAAATATATATAAAGATCTTGCCATGTAGAAGAACTATATACATTTGCTAATTTCAACATGCAGAACTGCAGACTACTGTATGTGGTTTTAATTAGATGAATTACAGTAATAAAAGTCCTACCAGTATATCCACTTATGTGAAGTTCTGGGGTAGTCTTATTTCCAGTGACTGCACTGAGGACAATGTTGTATTTATTCCCAGGGATGAGATTAAAAAAAGTATTTTCTGTTTTTGAAATGCTTCCTGGTACGGAGACTTCTTGTATCTTTTTATTATCATCATCAAATAATATTAGGTTATACAAGTCCACCTTTCCTGAGGAAGGATCCCATTGAACTTCCAAGCTTGTGAGTGTAGTCTTTTCCTTATTAATCTCCAAACGAGATGGCGGCAAGGGATCTGTAGTTAGAAAAAAAAAGAGAAAACTGAAACCATTTCTTGCATTACAATTGTCTGAAATTTTACACAACAGCACAAAAATTCTTCCAAAACTCTCCCTTTATCATCATCGTGCTGCCAATACTTTTCAAAATGTCTTTTTCTTTCGATTTATAAACACTGTGTCACTGAAACCTGTCTACAAGAGAGTCCTGCAGAATTCAGAAATGTTACTTTTCTGTATTGGTACACACTCACTGACACGTAGCGAAACACTTCCACTGTGGATGTATATTACAAGCTTGGAAATCTGCTGATAGTAAAACTGTAACAGCTTTAATAAAACCCAGCAAATTACACTCAGTGCCTCAGTATAATGTAGCTTTATAGATACAATGGCAGCAGCAGCTTTAATTTCCTAGCACTCACGCTAAACACCGTCACTAAACACTTTATCAGTAATGGGCGTGAACATTTATACAATTTTAAGGGCAACAATCCTTTGTTTTTAGTATTAGCTTCAACTACTTCAAACAGATTCTGATAGAATATGTTTCTGCTCTGATTTAGTATTGTTCATATAAATTAAAAAAAAGCTCAAAGAGTACATTGGATAAACCTTCATGAACTAATATTGGGACTGCTTCTCCAAGAAACTCTCAACATTCATTATGTTATTAAGGAGCTCTCAAGTAAAATCACCTGTGAAATACAATACACTCTAAAGAGATGGCAAACTGACCAAACAAAAAGAGTCTGGTTGCTTTTATTCTTCAGGTGTATTACATCACTCACAAGACTTCATGCAAACTAAAAAGAAATGTATTACGTGTTGGTGTACTAAGGCATTGACAATTATGTCTCCCATTAAGGTTAAGCAATTGCCTATTAAAAAGGTATCATAAAACAACCCAAAGCAGCAAAATCAAGTCTTCACAAGTTGGGAAGTTAAAGGATAAGGGTTCCCCATCAATTTAGGAACTAAATTTGCCTTCCACAAGAGTATACTCTGTGCTACTCTTCCCTAGCATCAGACAGGGAATGTATGGTGCATCCAGGCTGAGAACTGCAGTCTCTATATGACCAGCACCTTAAACACAGAACCTTAAACACAGAAGAACAAGACCATTTTTCCAATGCAGTCATTGCTGCTTGGTTCCCTGAACAAAGCAGACAAAAGGGTGTGAGATCACATAACTAAAAAATACATTGTAAGGGCTAAAATGACAAAGTCGAACCTACACCCACCCTACAAATACAGTGGTAGGAGAGCCTAGGATTCTTTAAGCTGCTTTTTCTTCAAAGCCTGGATGGTGTAGAGGGTGTAATTGCTTCATACAAAGCTGAGAATATGGTGGTGTCAGGTATTGGTGGTGGTATGCTTTATCAATCAAGTATATTAGGAATGTCTCCTCGTTCTTTGGAGACATTAAAAAACCGACTGGATATAGTCCTGGGCAACTGGATCCAGGTGGCCCTGCTTGAGCAGGAGGCTTGGACCAGATGACCTCTAGAGGTCCTCTCCAACCTCAACCTTTCTGTGACTCCAAAAAATACCGTGTCCCTTTGAACCCAGGTCTCTGCTTAAATTCAGATTCTTTCTTTGGACAACAGAGATGTTAGTGCTCTTCAGAAAAAGAGATAAAAATTAAATTAAAAAAATCAATCAATAAAATGAACTGTCTTTTCTTGACTGCATTCTTAAAGGCCAAATTAAATCTGCTTAAATCTGAAAAATAAAAAAAAATAAAATTAAAACTCAAGTCAAAGACTAAGCACATAAAACTTCAGGCCAAATAGATAAAACTTCACCCAACTACAGCAATTGAAACAGGAGGTTTTAATGAAAAGTGCCAGGAAATCTTAACAATAGGCTTGACTACCAGCTCCACCTATAATATATACTAAGCCACTAACGACTATTATGTTGGCAAAAGTGAAAAGGGGGGTTATAATCTCATTCCTTGAAGGCAATTGTTGTAATCAAAAAGGTCAAACTTTGGGAGTCAGAAATAAATTCCAGCACTAAATATGATCAGATCCACAGCCAGCTGAAAAGGGTTTTATTTGGCTGACGTTGAAAGTCATGACAACTGTCAAGAAGTTTACCCTCTTTCTGACAAAGTTAGAATAAGGTTGACTGTTCTTCAGTCCTGCATAAGTAATCAACATTGTAATCTGTATTATTTGCCAAATTTGACAAAAGAAGATATCTACATTTTTAGAAGCACTTATACTGTCCTGGGTAATCTGTCTTCTAAGGTGCATGAGCAAAGAAGAAAGTTGCGTGCCTAGAAGGTGAAGTTCAGAAATTCAGACTTTATCTAATCTATCTGGTCCAGAAAACAAAACACTCAGTGCTTTGTACATCCGCTAGAACAAAGGAACAATGAGACTGGGAAGTGCCTGGACTGAAAGAGCCCTGGATGGAAACAAACACTTAAAAAACCATTTACATTGTTATACAAGTCTCTGCTGGCAATGATACAACACTGATACATCACAGAAATGAAATACTTTCACAAAGATATTTTTATACCATTTGATAATATATGAATTAATGTCCCCCAGTCTACAAAGGCATCTTTCAGAAGACTTAATGGTGTTTGAATTATATTGCAACTCCATTTTCACTTTTTGGGAAGAGGATATGCTTTGTGTGCACAGCTGCTGCAGATCCAATTCACAGACATGATAGATATGGTTATGTCCAACCCCAATGACATGATTCCCAAGTACAGCCTGTAAGCACAGAAACACACCCACATAACGCAGGAGAAAAAATTACTGGGAGATATGAGCCCAGGACTGAGCAGTGGGGAATTCCTGCCAGTCTCAGCCATCTTCCTACCAAATTATCAATTTCTTTCCTAGTTTTCTCTCTTCATAAAACAGTAACCTACTTCATAAGGACTTCTCTGAAGATTAAGTAAAGAGGGTTGATTGCATCATCTTAAGTACAAATATCCATTTCTTTGGGATGATATGCAACCTCGAAAATCTTTAAAACATGGTTATTTATTTACTTCTTGTACTCTGTCTTTTGAAATTATGATCGTAACCATTACATGATTATGGATGATAGAATTCTACAGTCCATAGTTAGAGCTATGTCACATATGGCTCCTACAGATGGCTAATAAATCAGATTTGTCCCAAATAATTTGAAATTTACAGGAGTGAACACGTGGCCAAGGCATGTCTCTGGCATTTACAGAGTTACATATTACAATGAAGAAACACTCTACCAGTCTGCACCCTAGAAGGTAGAATTTTAAGTTCTTTTCATTCAAATATTTAATGGTTTTTCTAACAAAAAGTTATTTACCTGTTAGTTCTCTCAGTACAGAAGGCTCGGATTAGGCAGTGATATAATATATCACTGCAATATTTTTGTAGAAAACAATTTTGAAATAGCATTTATAAGCCTACATTAGAAGACATATTTGAAAGCAGGGTAATTGCCAAGTTGTTTTTCACGGCTCTCAAGATGACATTTCAAATCTGAATTTCAATTCAGAAATTTAACTGTAATTTAGGATCTGTTCATATACTACTGTTTTTAACTAGAATTTTAATTAAAGACCTAGTCATTCACCGAAATACACAGTTACACTGGTGCACAGACATTCGGAGAGTTAAGAACTTACAATGTATTTTATCTGAAATCAGGAAAGACAGAACTCTACCATCTTTTGTCATTGAGCAGTTCCCAGTGACAGAAATAGTTTTATTGAGAACAATAAAGGATATAACATGAAAGGACCAACAGTTGTGTGTGTTATCCCAATTTTACAATGTCAAGCATGCTGACTAGTTGTATGGTGTTATGTGATGCTTCATGTACATATGTATATAAAAAAAACCCGTAACAAATTGTAATTGCAAATATTAACGTGAAACAAATATGCAAACTTGTGCCTACTAACATCTGTAATCTCAGGTTTGCAGTGGAAAATTAGTCTGTAGCTCAGAGTTGATAAATGGCGTTATCAGCTTTTTCTTTCTTGCCTATTCTACTAAAATATCAACTGTCCCCACTGTGTGTGTTTGCATGTCTGTGTATACCTGGCTTATAAAGTGCATATGTGACTGTATTGTGCATCATTTTGATCTATTTTACTTCTGCTCTACAGGATTAAATACTTGTTGTTTTGACAACCCATAAATCAAAATTTCTTGAGTAAAGAGAGTCCACTTTAGTGGTCCAACGTGGATTGTTGTACCAGTATTCCACACATTATTAGATTTCATGTCTCTGCATCCATAAGAGAAATAGAAGCTGCTTTTCTACTCAACGATTCACAAAGGTGAACCTGGTGTTACTTGAGAGTTTAAGCAATCTTGGTGAGCTGCACCATTATTCTACTGGAATATCAAACTTCCAAACAACACAGATTGTGATTTTAATGTGACATTACATACTCAAAAGGCCAAATGAAATTAGGAATTTGATCCTCTCCAAGCCTTCACATTACCACTGCAACTACAGTATGCAGTATTCATCGCTTTCACCTTGAGTTCTTAATCGGAAAAGTTTACATGCAAAATTTAACAAAATATTTTGAATGTTATGCACTTAACTACTCAATCACTTTGTATAAGAAACTTGATGAAAATTGAACTCAGAACTGGCACATGAAAATTTTAACAGGATTGAATCTGAGCAAAAAGCTAGTTTTTGAAGTAGGTATATAAACGAATCTGAAACTTTTTCTGTCTGCATTTATCGTATCAAGATGATACAGATGTTCAAATCTCATTTTGCAAAAGATAAACATATGAGATGGGATTCCTCTCCCTTCAATCAACTAAACTTCAGATTCCTGGTTCAATCCAGCTTCCTTTGATAATCAGTGGAAAAAGCTGGGCACCTTCAAAGTACAGCTTAGCCCATCTTCCTTAGTAAAAGAGCTCAGAAACGGAACCTCACTGAGTACCAAGGTCAGACATCATATTTTTAGATGGCCCATGACAGCTCAGTTCTGCTACCATTGAAATCAGTGGAAATTTTGTTTACAATATGGCTGAACATATGGCTTATACTTCCATATTCACAGGACAATTTCCAGAAACACCTGCCTATGGACACTCAGGCTCAGTAGATCATAAACTAAAACTACTGACATCAGAGCTTGAAGAAAACTGGTTTATAATGCTGCCCCTAGTGGAAACTTACAGAGGAATAATCCTTTCTCATTCTTCATCGAAAAGCTTAGTCTGTACAGTACAATATGGGTTGTTGACAGGCATAACAAAACCATTCTTTAGAAAAAAATGACAAATTTTGGATTTTGTGCATTTTACAGCATCAAGCAATGCAACTCGTGATTGAATCAAGGGAAGCAAGGAACCACAGAGCAATATGAGTACCGCTTTTTGCAGGAAACCTTCACGGTTCCTCTATTCTTATTTCTTGCTTTTGACTGATCTCTGCTATCCAGAATCCAAACACAAATCTCACTTCAACTATGGTCCACTAATCTGCAGTATTTCAACTTAAATCAGACTTTTCACTTTGATGTCAGCTATGAAATATGACTCTAATCATCAGTTGCTATCAATCACTTTCATCTTACAGCCTTGCAAAATCTATTTAGTGATAAAAAATTAATAAATGGCATGTACAAGCTTCTGTCTAAACGATTATGCACTAATCAAAATATGTTCTAAAGCAGTATGTTTTTCTCTACTTCTATGCAAGTGTTCAATAACAGAACTTTACTATACAGAAATGACGGTGATTTGTACCCATCACTCTGATAACAGTTGATCTATTCTTTCAATTTTCACATTACAAGTCATCAATATTAAAAACAATTGGCATGATGCACAACACTGATTTAAATCACTGTCTGCAGAAAAACCATTTTTCATTTTTACCAAGTGACGTGACTTGTGCTTAATGTATAGCTATCACACCAGCAGACTTGTCACTAGACTTTTTTTAACTTACCAAAGCAAATTAATGGAGGGTATTTAGTGCATTTGTACGGTTAATGCAGGGAAAAAGCTCTGACAGAAAGTGATATCTGTGAACAGGTAATTATTAAGTATTTGGCTACTGTAATCTTCAATACTAATACTGCAAAGTATCTCTCTGAAACTAACACTTCGGGAGCAAATCAGGGAGGCATTTAATGATGGACCTTCTTTACAGACATCTCTGTTTTGGGTCTTGAACTACCACCATTAAGAGGTTGGACAATATTATATTTCATCATCGTAAAAAACCCCCCCACTGATACAGGTAGAAAGAGTTCAGTTCTGACACTGCAGCTGTTGGCCTTATGCTGTCCATTGCTTCACAGCTGAATCGTTCACATGCACACACAAACACAAATGCAGAAAGGGAGCCTTCCCTGGCAGCACTCTGTCAGACTACTGGCTCATTTTTTACAGCCAGTCATGGATGTGACACTATAAGTGCTCTGCACACAACTGTACATCATAACACCTCACTAGTGATATCCAAGGAAAAAATAGAAGCAAGAAGTTTCAGCCTTTCTGACTTTTAAACTGTGGTTGGACAAAATAAAAGTATGGAAATGGGATGAAACGGTAAGCTATCCTTGAAGAGGATTTACCTGCTATGAAATAGATTGTATTTTAAACACATTAAACAATCAGTCACTTGAGTAACTATGAAGACAATGGGGTTGCATGAGCACAAAGAATGTTATGGGCTACTATTTCTTAAAGCATTCTTCTGACCAAGTCTCCTCACAGCACCTTCTCCTTTCAAACCTGCTCGGCTAACTGTTGGCAGTGTTTTCTTCTGGCAGTGGGCTAAGGAGAACTCAAGCGCAGGGTTGCTATGTTCAGCAAACACTGTCCGTTTGCCGTAGCTGTAAATGCATCGCCCTCCTCCTCTGGGAGCAGGGCGAAACAAGGGGACGGGAAGGAAAAGCCCGGCGTCCCTCCCCGTGCACCTGCCGCGCCCGCGCCCGTACCTGTCTGCACGGAGATGTTGAGAGCCTCCCCGCCGGAGAGCGGCTCGATGTGGAGGTGGTACCAGGTCCCGGCCTCCAGGCCCCGCAGGGTGCAGTCGTAGGTCCCGTTGCCCGCGTGGGCGGGCTGGCAGCCGGTCGCCTCCCCGTCCTCGGAGCGCCCACTCAGGCTGAAGTTGCAGGCGCGGCCCGCGGCGCCCCAGCGCAGCCGGACGCTCTGCCCGAAGACGCGCCGCTCCGTCAGGTTGGCGCTGCATCCCGCCTGCCCCAGCGCGGCCTGCGGAGAGCGAGGAGAGCTCTGAGAGACCCGCCGGCGCCTCCCGGGCTCAGCCCCCAGCCCCGTCCCCGAGCTGTGCCGGTCCGGCGCGAACGCACCCGTATGTCCCGAGCTGCGACCTGCGATGGGAGTCCCTGCACCGCCCCCCTCCTCCCGGCCGCTCACCTTGGTCAGGGCCAGCGCCGTCCACAGGGCGAATCCCGCTCCATAGCTCAGCATCGCCGACAGTTTTTAACCCCGAAAACCCTCGCGGGGAGGGGAAGAGGAGAAGGGACGGAGGGGTGGGGTGGGGGGGTCTGAAGAAGTGAAGTGGCGGCGGCGGGCCCCGGGGGCCCCCGCTCCCCGCCGGGCTCCGAGCCCTGTGCCGGGCCGCCCGCCTGCTGCATGCGCTCGGGGCTGCCCCGGCCGCCGAGCCGCCTCCCTGACACCGGCGTGGGTGGGGGGGCTGCCCGCCCGTGGCTGAGGAGGAGCGGGGAGGCGGGGGAGGCGGCCGCCACTTCCCACGCTGCCATTCTGACCCGGGCTGACTCTGCCGGAGCCCTTCCCGCCGACTTCCGCAATCAAGAGGCGATTTCCTCGCGTCTCGCTGCGGGGGGTGAAGCGCGGCGATCCGGGACCTGCCGCCCACCGGGCAGGCGACCGGCCTCGGGGTGCCGCCCCTCGCTCCTTATGGATCCCACCTTCCTCCCGGCTCCTCTCCCACCCCACCTCTCTTCCTTCCTCAACGCTTCCTCTGCATGCCGGCTCTCCCCTGGGTCTTGTCTTCCCAAGCGTTCCTGCTGGTGCATGGGGGCCCCTCAGGCGGTGCCGTTGTTGCTGGGGGGGCGGCACTCTCACCTCACGCTGGCTGCACCTCACTTGACGCTGCCTTGCCTTGTCTCATGGTTGCATTGCCTCACAACCTCCTCACCTTGCATCTGCCTCGTCTCATGCCCGTCTTGCCTTACAGCTGCCTTGCCTCATGTGCCTCCTCATCACACCTGCCACTCCTCATGGTCACCTCACCACCTCACACCTGCCTCACTCCATGGCCACCTCACGTCGAATGCCTGCTCTCCTCCTGCCTGCCACTCTTCACAGCCACCCCACCTCCTAGCCCACCCTCCTCTTGGCCTCAGCCATCACTAAACCATCAATCCAGCTCCTGTATCCCAAACACTGATGTTTTTAGCGGTTAGCCATAGACCACCAAGGCCTCCATCCTCTCCCTGGCCCTATGGCATTGTGACCAGAGGTCTTGTGCCCAGGAGAGTCCCAGCAGAGCCTGACACTGAGCTGATGTCTGCAGCAGAAGAGTAGTCTGTCTGTGAGCAGTCATCTCAGCTTGTTTTGTTCTGCATCAACCTGTGTCCTTGAAACAATTCCTTCCCACATCCCCCAAATAACTCCCAAGCTAAAATTACACACACCGTGGAAAGCAAGAAAGTTTCTCTGTTTTCACATTGCACCAAAAAAGCTGTGCACAACTCCGAGTCGGCTGCTGTAAAAATGGAAACTTGCCATTTCTGCCATGCATGCCCATTTCCTCCTTGTTTAGGTTTCAGCCTCTTAAAAATCATGTATATGTGTATGTGGGGTGAGGGAAAAGAAATGTAGCCAGAAGTGTTTTGCACCTTCAGATATTCAAATAGCAGCCATGGAGTGAATTTAGGATTGCATAAAGGGGAAAGAATTTGACATTTACTTTCTTCAGTGGGAATGGCACAATTCTGCGTCTTTCTGTACTGCATGATGCATGTGGGATTTTAACTTTTAAAAGCAGTACCTCAAGCGAATTGAACACTGTATCACTTTTGCCCCATTTTAGGGAGAAAAAGGTTCTAGGTTTACAGATGCTAGTCTGCCTTTTAGGGGAGCTGCTGCTCTAGGATTTTTCTGGGCAATCAGCCTGTCAAACAAGATACAAATGTCTGAAAAACCTTAGCTCTCATTTTTCTGTTCTGAAACCTAAGGTCTGAGCACTCAAGGGTGTTACCCACACTTACAGAAAACTTCATTTGTCCCAGTGGAACTCTATGCCTGGTCCTAAGTACACTGTACTGAAAGTGCTGGGCTCTATTCTGCAAAGCTTAGGATGATTAATAACTTTATGAACATCACCTGAAGTGACAATATAAATATGTATTGATTATTATGCCATTCTCAAGTCCATCACAGAACATGATCTCCCTCAGAAGAGATGTTTCACATACTTCAGACAGGAGGAGGGACCAAGCCCCAAAGAGCTAGCACAGGGATAAACATACCACTGATGGGAAACACAAGGTGTGTTTCTTAGATCTAAACTGGGATTCAAATGATATAGATGTCTGGTAATCATTCAAGGTGAGAGAGTTTTACAGTGTGATTCCATCTTTAGATGATCATGGTTTTTGGACCTAATGGCATAAACCACACTAGTATTTTTCCAGCACTAGAGAAGCAGAGATCTGAAGGCTTATTGGGATGTTTGGATTACTTCAAACTCCTCTCTGTAAATTATAACATTGCGAGTAATTTACGTTTTCTTCAAAAGCAGAGCTCACGTCATTATAAGGAGTTTTGAAAACATCCATAATCTGAATTTGCAGGGAAGATATAATTCAGATATTTAGGTGTAAGTTATTTAAGCCGATGTAATACGTGAAAGGGAAAAAACATAATCAACACTGCAAACATAAAATTCAGGGAAAAAAGTGGAACCTACCACAAATAAAATTTAAAGAGTTGGAAAAAAATATTTGTTTGTCTCTTCCAGATAATGCAAGATAATATGTGGAGAAAAACGATGCTATTGCTTCTCACAAGTGCTCGTAATTTAGAAGTTCCTACTTTATTAGTCTTATTCTTGCTATCATAGAATCTTTATCTTTTTGTATTAATAGGGAAGAACTGGTTTATTACTGGTTTTGAGACTTCCTTCTGTATGTTATCCAGCAAAAGCTGCTGCAAGGGTAAGGGCTGACAAAGATGCCTATGCCAGCACTGAAGTAAAACAGGAGGGGTTCATCATTCACTGGTGGCAATATATTTATATAGAATAGCCAACATAACGCAAGTAATTATTTCCAGACTGGTATTGCATAAATGGGCTTTTAGTAGATCAGCAGTCACTCAGCCTTTAACACTTACTGATCTGTGTGGCAAGCCAAGAAATTAATTAAAAAAGAAAAAAGAACTGTAAGTGAGTTTTGGGAGTTGCCGGACGTGTCTCTAATAGCAGGCTCCAAAGTCCCTTTCAGACACTTTCCCAAGGTTTCCTGAGTTGGTTTTTTTTTTAACACTAGCCTCTCTGTCTCTCTAATCAAGAGGAAATGGGCTTTGCATAGCTTTTGTCATGGATTCAAAGTGCAAGCTGCAGTTTTACTTGAAATCCAAGGCAGCTCTAAATCAAACATTTTGTTCAATTGAAATGTCACTATTGTCCCCCAAAATGGGTATGCGCACAGCCAAATAATATCAAGGCTTTACTTTTACAAACAAGAGGACCCAGCTTGGGCAAATGCAGTTCATAGAAGGTATTGTCTTCCTCACAACAATACTCAGCACTCAGTCTACGTGTTTTTGAAGTATCGTGTTAAATCCAGTTAATCCTCTAAACGTTCCTGCTAGTTTGACAAAAAATATTTTTGATTCCATTCTAAAGACTGGGAAACAGAGATGGAGGCCATAGATTTTGAGTTTGTGTGTTGGTATATCTAGATCGGTATATCTGATTGGTATATCTAGATTCAAATGTCCAGAGCCAGCTAGAGGCTCCAAGGGAAAGCTATTATTCTTTTTTTTCATTGATATGTGTATCATCAGAATTATAGTTTGAAAGTTTTGACCTAAGCAATTGCTCAGTGCAAATGATGTCATCAGGAGGTGAAGTGGGGTAGGAACACAGGAGGCAGTAGTTTCTGCAGTTCAAATGGTGCCATTCCTCTAGCTCTGGTTGTATTATTTAGTAGGAGTGCTGGAGGCAATCTGGCTAATACCAGATTTTATAGGACATTTCCATTTGGAAGTAACCAATATTTGGTGCAGGAGGTATGCTATGTGGACAGAAGGCATGTGGAAATAAGCTCAGCCTGCCTCCGGAATAATCATATTTTACAAGGACTGCTTACATCAGCTGTGAAATGGGGTGCAGTGCTTCCATCATCAGCTCAGCCCCTTCCCACCATCAGCTCAGCCCCTTCCCACCATCAGCACTAGAACCATTGAGTTTACAGACCCTGACACTCTCCACAGCCTTCCCAAATACAAAACACATTTCTTAGTCTTATCCACAGCAATACATAGTAGTAACTGAAACATGTTTGCCTGACCCAATACACTGAGAGTAGTGTGGTCTCCTGGAAGAGAAGCCCCAGGGAATTTAGGGATTTTCAGTTCTAAACCACTATGTGATGATAGTGATACAGTGACCAATAATGTCCTGCATGCTTTAGCTCTAACTGCCCATGCACATTTTGCCAATGGTGATTCCAGGTTTGCTCTCAGATTACCAAACTAATCCTTGCAGAAAAAGAAAACTGGAAATTGATTTGGAGGTATTGAATGCCTGTCATTTCTCCTCCTATAGCTGGGGCTGGCAGCCCCATTCCCCTGCTCTGCCAGGGCGGTTTGTGGTTCAGCAGAGCAGAGATCAAGAAGCACCTGTGTGTCTCCACTGCCTGTCGGTCAGTAGATAAGCTGGCCATGGCCAAGGCCAGGATTCCTTTTAAGGCAAGTTAAAGTATACAGATTTCTCTTGCTTTGATCTATAAACAATGTCTGTAATTTTAGGACTCAATTATCCATAAATAAAGTCATTGCATACTGTAATTCTTAGTGTGTTATTAGAGCTAGACCCTCAAGTCACGCAACAAACCAGTGGCAGAGCCTGGGTCACTGAGAGCAGATACCCAGGCTCCTATGGCTTCTGCCACATCTATGAGTTGTCCAATGCTCCACACATATCCTGATAAAATCCCTTGAGCTTAGAGATTTTCCCAATACATTGTGCATACCAGGATTGGGCTGTAACAGAAGAGACAGAATTTTTCTGTAGCTATGCTTCTAGCAAAGGGCACTGTCAGCATGAGCATCAAAACAAAGCATCCCGCTAAAAAAATGAACAAAGCTTAGTCCTGTAGCTGTTTTTTTTTCGGTTTTGTTTGTTTGTTTGTGTTTGTTTTGGTGGTTTTTTTGTTGTTGTTGGGTTTTTTTGTGGTGGTTGTTGTTGTTGTTGTTTGTTTGTTTTTTAAGTCCACAAAACATCCACCTGTAATAGCTATCAGGGTGCACAGAGTGGAGGAGACTTAATAAAAGTCAGTAATTCTTCTGTCTTACCTCTTCTGTAGTGCTGTAGTATTGAAGAGTGGTTGTTGGAATCCAGGTATTCTCTGTTACTGCAGATTTCAAGTCAAAGTAGAGCTTTTCAATGGGATTTTTACTGAATTGTTCAGTCACATTTCTGATGAACATCTCTGTGCTACTCTTCAGCATATTTTCAGGCCTAGAAGTAACAGCATTTGAAGAGGGGGATGTGGTTCTACTACTCCATACAGAAGTGTCTGCATCCTGGAGATCTAAGACAAACAAGGAAAAGTAATTAAAATCAGCTCGACATTTTTATAAACAATTCAGTAGATTCAATAAATGTGGCTGATACAACTTCTAAGTAGTTTAAGTGCACCTGTCAGTTCTATAGGGTGTTTTGTTTGTTTTCAGTGCAAACATGTATTTTTGCATCAATACCAAAGTCTGTGCCAAACAGAAAGAAAATAATTTCCCTGAACATTCATACCATTCATTTTAAGGGTAGTCCATCAGTGATTCTGAAGTGAAGAAAGGTTGTACTTTTTCATTAACAGCACAATTTTTTCACTCACAGCTTTTTCACTTGCTTGGACCTATTAAATGGCACACAGGATCAGCTTTATGTTGTCAACCCCCTCCCCTGCTTTCTAAGTGCACAGGCCAGATTCTCATCTGCCTTTTGTTGGTGTAAGTTTAAAACATGGCTTTGGTCAGGATAATCTTTCAAGATGATTTGTTTGAGATAATTATTTTTTTTGTTTGAGATATTTGCCCAAGATAAGTTCCTTGTGCCCACATTCCTTTTGCTTTTGAAAATCAGGCCTATGCAGAGAACATGCTACTCCCTGACTGCTGCCTTTCCAAGGCTCAGATAACAATCTATCACTTAACTGAAGTATCTGTAAATATGATGGTGGATTTGCTTTTTTAGTCACGTACTCTTCAGAGAAAGCCAAAGCTGCAATTAAAGCTCAGGAAAGATTTTACTACACATTTTTCCTCCACATTTTCATGGCTCTTCCTCCCCATTGGTATGTACTTAATATCCTTTCTTTGTGGCTGTGAGGGCAGGGTTCAAGCTGTGGTGGCCTCTACATCTGGTAGCATCACATTTCAACTAAGCAATTGGAATTACACACTGGCCTCATCTCACAAAAAGCTGCCCTGCCATTGCTGTAGCACAGCGAGTGTGCATTGGCTCAACGCCCAAGACACTTTGTCAGTCCTTGAACTGGGGTCTCCAGCCTGACAGAACCTTGTTTGCTGCTGATCCACTGGGCTGGTTGCCATTTATAACAATTTTAGCTCACAAATCCTCTAAAAACAAAGAAACGATTGGGTTAAATTGCAGCAGAAGCTTCCAAATGCAATTACTTGGTGTGAAATTATGATGTCTTAGCAGACCAGTGTGTGTTTAATTCTTACCTAAAGGATCAGTGGATAAGCGTCCATGAAATCAACATGATGAGTTTTCTTGTATATGTGTAAATATATATGCTAACACATTTATATAGAGAAATTTGCAGCACTCTCATTTGCACTAAGAAAACTGAGATTGTAAACCATAGTATGAGACACTTTTCATGCAAGTGTTTCCTGTGCTTGACGTGTACCAGTGCATTTACCATGGTTCTGGATCTTTTTGAAAAGTGTTGGTTCGCTGGAATGGGTTGATACCCAGATTAAATGTTTACCCTCCTTTTGTCTAATTGTGCTCAAGCTCTCATCAGCTGCTGCAACAAACCCATTAGCTGACAAAAGCCCAGACTCAGTCTAAATTCCATGTCAGTCGCTGTTTCTGGGAATCTCCTATTAGTCGTGGATCTCTGAAAGTCTGCAGTAGGCAACGAGAAATCCTAGCCCCGAGGACTTGGAAAGAATTAGGCCTGTGCCTCTGTGCCTCCCAGATATCTCTGAGTTCAGCAGCGTGTAGAACCTACTGATAGGAAGACAGCCGAAGAAGAAGTACCTGAGCAGTAAGCAATGGCTCAGGAAAAAGGGCCACAATTGGGTTCCTAAATATAGATTGACACACCCAACTTAAAAAAACATTAAAGAAAAAAATCTTGGCTTAATTTACAGACAAATAGTTCTGATTCCAACAGGAAGGCTTTTGCATTCCAGGGCAATTGTGCTTTAGGAGAGCTGCTCCTCCATAAAAGGGAAGCTGGTGCTGCCAGCAATATTTATGGGACTCAGCAGCCAGGAATAACTGGCATTCTTGGTGCAGGAGACAAGGGGAGAGCTCAACTGTCCTGGAAGTGAAACGCTTGGTCCTCAGGAAAGTTCCACCAGCCCAAGGAGGTACCAGGAACAAGCATCTGGTCACTGTACAACCTAACTCCTCTCGTTAGAGCTTGGAGTTCTTCTGGGTTTCCAGATAAAGAATCCTTCCCAGCAAAGACTGACTATAATCTGTTACCTGTAACATATGGATGTGTATGGCACTACGCCATGCTGGAACTTCAGATGTAGGTAACAGCATTTCCCATAGGTCCTACAGGATTGACTAACAGGGTTCATATCTGCCCTCACTTCAAGAAAGTCAGAATCCACATTTATATTCTATTTCTAAGTAAAACACTGGTGTGGTCCTAGCAGAAGGACCCTCATAGCCCTTCTTCAATAGCAGGCACTTTAAAAAAACCCTACATATTATAAGGCCCATGTAAGAAGATTTCTACACAATTTGTGTTCCAAATTTTTTAACCAGAAAAAACTCCCCTCTTGTCTGGACACTAGTAAAGTACACAGAAATCTCAACAGTGGGATTTTTCAGAAGTGTTTAGCATTGTTCTAGAAGTCTCTTTGGAAATCAGTCATAAAACTGTCTATGGGAACAGAACAGCAGCAGTGATACTGACGTTGATCACTAGTGGCTGAATGATATACAGCGTGTGAACATAACATTGTAATCATCAGTAGCACACCCAGGAGAAATTATGACATTCTGACTAAATGCATATTTCATCCATGGGGTGTGCTGCAAACTGCATCCGTCCGCACAGCAGCAGGCTGCTTACAAGAAAAGGAAGTCCGTATGTTTTTCATGTATGATTAGCAAGAGCACTGATTAGTTGTCAAGTACTGAGAACCCTACAGTGGTGCCTTCAGACTTAGCCAAGCTGGCACAGTGCACCTTTCTGAAATAGCTTGATTTTTTCACCAATCTACCTACCTTATTAAAGCACAGTTTCAGAAAACTAAGGCTGAACTGCAAGTGAAACATAAATTAATCATATATCTAGTGCATAAGAAACAAAATACTTCATAAGACTGCGTATAACTCACAGCAAGACTTGAAACTAGAAGGGGTTGCTTTAAGATCCCTTTATCTTTTTAGCTAACTACTTCTAAATAGACTGCAAAAATAAAGACTATTTAAAAAACATAGTTCAGATTTCTGTTGTATGTAAGAATATGACAAAAGAACAAAATCCACTTAATGTCCTTTCTTTGCCATTCAATGCGGATCTTTCAAAAACTGCAAAATCTGTGCTGCTTGAAAATTTTTTACCTTCTTTATTTGAATGTTGCAGAAGTTAGCAATATTTGTATCTCGTGTCAGAGGTTAAATGTCTCCCAACTCCAGTCTAATCCTGAGCTGCTCTTTTACTTGCTTGTTCTTGAAATGCTGAAGTAGCCACTTAGAGGCTCTTTCAGCACCAGTGGTAGCAGAACATCTCAGATACATCTCTGATGATAACACCATTGCTGTACCAACCCTATTTCTGGCACTCTGGATAGTCCCAGCTCACACTGAAGTGGATTTTTGGTCACTGAAGAGCATCTAGACTGCATTAACTCCATGGATTACATACACGTCTACTGAAGAGAGTTCAGAAAGTTACCTCTATGCAGATACCTAGGGCTTGGTTCAGTTGCCTAAATCTAGTGGAATATGAACTGCCCTCAGGCCCTCTGCTCAGGGCTCTCATAACACCTATGGGAGACCTATGTCTTTCTGGGCTGGCAGTCAGAGATCAGGTGGAATATCCTGGAGCGTCTCAAATGACAAAAAGTACCTATGTTGAGACAACTGAAATAAGCCCTTCCTTCAGACACCTATATTTAGACACCTCAAACCCTCTCCAGCTTCTACAGAGAGGTCCACACAAAATAAAGGGAGAGAATGTAATAATGAAAAATACCAATAGGGTTGTCTGGAATTGGCATCTTTGTTTGCACTTCCAGGAGAAGATGAAATCATAAAGCAGGACTTGCCTTAATCCTGATTGCTCCGGGAAGCTGTTCCTAGTGTTCCATTTTTTCCCTATGAGGGTATCCGAGCTGATTTTGTTCTATATTTTTTGTGCTGTGTCTCACTGAGACTTTGAAAATTTACAAAATCCAGAGACCTAGATACACTGTAGATTTCTCCATTTCTTTTTAAAAAAATCTAAAACCACATTTATTTTGATTTATCTTATGATTTTTTTTAACGTTGAAATGTTAGGGGAAATGAATGTTTGTCAAATGAAAAAATGATTAAAAAAATTGGTGATAGCTTCTGTCAGTATGATATTGTATTGTGTACAAGATTTTCTAATTATGTCCAAGGATTTGATATTGAGGCCTCTCTTTGTCCAGATGGAGCTCAGCAAAAGTGGTCAGCCATGTATTGCTTTGACCAAAGAAAGAAGATTCAGTTAATATTTGATATTTCATGGGTTCACATAGATGTTAGCAAACTCTTTTATTTAAAAAATCCTATGAAATAATATTTCAGAGATATACAAATGGATTTGAATGAATTTTTTTAGGAAAAATGTTTTGGGTCAGCTCAAAGGTGGAATGAAAATATTGATTATCATTGTTCTAATTTATCCTGGAGAAATTTGTAAAAGATACACACACAAAAATCCAACCTCTAGTGAACCTATGGATGGATTATTGCAGTCACTACAAACACTAAAGGTGTGGAAAAATTAAAGTCTAAAGATATTTACATGATCTTAAAAACAGGTAAGAGTTGCTGCCTTTTCTGTGATTCTGCCACCCTTCTTTGGTGTTCTTCCACCTTCCCAAGAGTCCCAAGAAAATGGATGTGTCTTCCCTTTCCACATTCTGCAGTTGCTACTGCTGCTCCAGTGGTTGGGAGTGTGCTTGGAGTGTACATTGCTCTGGTATCTTCTGTGCTCCATCTCAGCCACTGAAGCATCAGCAGTTCTGATTATGAAGTAGGTAAACTTAAAAGGAGTAAGGGAAAGAGAAAAGTCCACATGAAAGAGAAGATACTGGGCAAGAAACAAGGGTGGAAAAGGAGGAAGGAACAGTGTGAACGTCAGATCGCACATCAGACTTTGGCTCATATGTAATATCTGATATTTTGTCTATTTTAGAGTGAAAACAAAACAAGGGAGAGAAAGATGCTCTAGTTGTTATTTTAATTCCTTGTCCTACATGTTTTATATCTTTGTAGATCCCACTTTGGTTCTTAAGTCCTTGGCATATAACAGTAAGTAATAAAACCTTTCTCCTCCACAAAATCAACTACTGTTTTGAATGTCTTGATATCCACAGCTCTAGGGCTGTCCCTACCATGTACGATATGATAGAAGAGAAATGCAATGAAGAGCATCATATTACAAAACAATTTATGTCACCTTTTGCATCCAGACTGCTCTACAGCCCATATGACAGTCTCTAGATCTCTGCATAACTGCAGTATACAGCTTGGCATTGTGTCTCCCTATTTGAAGTCATTCACCACTTAGTGAATAATTTTTGGTCAGCAGTGGTTTTGAGGTGTGTTGGCAATATGTGAGGTGCCACATAGCATTGCATCTGTTCTTTAATTGGATATTTTATTGAAATTAACCTACCTGGAACAAAAGAAGCTTGTAAGAATTGCTTACACAAGTCAGGAGTGACATCAGTGTGTGTCAGCATTAGTGGTGCTCTGGGTGCTTTCCAGATAAGAGAAGGCATTTGTTCTGCAAGTGTTATTTACCTGCAACAGTCTTCATCATCCTGCCTTCTACCTCTTCACCTCCCCCATCTTTTCCTCCTCCCTGTTTCCATTCCTGTCCCTTCTCCTGGTTTCTGGGCTTAAAGAAGCTCTGAACCCAAAAGTGGGCTGGTGAAAAGAAGGCCTTAGCACTCCTGAGACTACTTCTCTCTCTGCCCAGAATCTCCTCATGAATTTGATGGGAAATGAAGCCTTACTTTCTCAAGGGAGTTTGATATCTCATGGCCCTTCTTAATGTTAGCTGTTTCAGCTGGAGGTCAGATTCAAACATGGGTTTGTGTGAGAAGGACTGTTTGCTGTTAGATTTAAAATCATCTCTGAGTGAACAGAGATGGGATACATCCCCAAACTGAACCTGATTTTCACAAATGGTCATTGAGGTCAGGACTCTTGCAAAACATGTACATCCAGATACATCTAAGATGGTGGATTTGAAATCCAAATCTGAGCTCAGCCTTTCCCCACGCTCAGAAAAATCATATTTGACATTGAGTAAGGTCCAGAATAAAAGGTAGTTGCAGTTGTTGGGTTTGGAGCTTGTACTCTATCTGGGCTGATAAGATGTTAGGATGCAGTTCACTGAGTTACTCCTATGCCAAAATATAATTAATTTTATGAGTACTATGAAAACAGAGGGTAAATTATATCAAAATATGGTGTTAGTCATGAGCAGAAAAACAGCCATCTCAGCTCAAAAGATTTTGCTCAGTTTTTACTACCTTAGATAAATATAGACCAAATATGTTATTTTAGGCTAATCCACTGCTGCTTTTACTGAAAACAGATAGATGTTCTTGGAAGATTAATTTTGCACATTCAGTATTGAAAATTTTGACATGCACATGGATACCAAGACCAGAACTGGGGGCATTAGATTTTGTTCTTGTAGTACTTATCATTATTTCAAAAACTAATATCTGTGCACTGTTTTCACTCTTTATGAGTTTCTTACATTCATGAAATTCTTAGTAGGTATTGAGGATTATAAAGTTCTGTTGATTTCTCAGTAGAGCTTCTCAGAGCTGTCAAAAATGAGATAAGTGACACACTTAAAGAGGATTTACAGGCCTGTCTATGGAGAGAATTTTAGGAAAATTAAGGTAAATTCATTTAATGACCAAGCACAGTAAATAGATGAGAGGGTGCTTTCATATCTCATGACAATTGTCTTAGTGCTTATTGGTCTTAAATTGCCTCTCCTCTGATGCATGATTAAGAAAAGGATGCAAGGTTACTTTAGCTTTGTTAGGCCACACTTCATCCAGCTATCTAAAGGAAATAACACTGCCTGCATACCTCATCTGAACCGTTCAGTGTCTCTGACTAAGCAAGCCATACTTGCCACGCAGGACTTCAAATGATTTTGCCTTTTTAATCTCTAACATGTATGGGAGGACTGGGATGGCATCTTGGCCGCTTTTCCATTCCCTGATTCTCTAAGTTGTCCTTTCAGACCTCCACTCAGGTGAATAGTCCTGATCCTTTGAGTAGAGTTCTGCAAGTGCAAATTTGCTGAAAATAGTGACACCCTGCCTTACAACAACTAGGAGGTTAGAAAGAACGAAGATTTGATTTAGATATTCTGAAAACTTGGCTACATGGAAAAGTATTGGGTCATAAAACTTTTTTTTTAATCTTGTAAAGGCAAGAATAAACTGTGTGTTCCCCAATAAAAAGCTCAAGTCTGTAGGTTGTTCTTATTTACTATGAAGAACTGCTTAATAGTGTGCAAGAAGAACGTCAACAGGATTGCCAGGAAGGACTGACAACAGAACATTGAAGAAAGTGTTATTAAGCAGTATTCGAACCATTTTACCTTCCATTTTGCCGTGGAAACTCGTAACTACACAGGTATATAGATATGCGTCTGTGATGTGCACAGACTCATGCATCTCAAGGTGCTATTACAAGAATTTCTGAGATTTTTGATTCAGTTCATTATTTTCAGTATTTTGAGTGTTCTCATATATATGCCATCTAAGGGCAAAATGACACTGAGTAAACATACAAATGTGTAAGCCATGGCTGTTCTAATCATGCATTTGGGTTACTCAGAGAAATAATTGTGCATGTGTTTGATTTTTGGATGTCTTCTTGCTCTTGACAGATTGAATCTGGATTTGTATGATAAAATGAATGGGGAGGAGAAGAACTTTCATACATCCACATTTTTTTAAAGGACTAGGAATTAGTACCCACAATTCTGTTTAGAAATGAAAAAAGGAAATGACACAATAATAGTGAGCTAAGCTTACACATAAGCACTTTGATCCAAAGATTGTGAGTAGAGAAAAGGAGAGACATCCTGAAAATATAAAGTGGCTTAAAAACTCCACCAGTTGTGACAAAGACAGCACTCATCTCAGCTATTCTTTTGTAGTTCTCTAAATGATTTTCAACTATCAGAAGCATTTTTCTGTATGAATAAAACATCAGAATTTTTTACATTTGAGTTAGCATAACAGAGACATTTTCGTTGCCTAAACTTCCAGGATACTTCCTTGAAGGAGTAACTCACCTTGCTTTGAGCACAGATTTACATAAACAGGTTTTCCCGTCTCACTGGCTTCTAGCTGCATCCATGTATGAAGGTATTTTTTACTCTGCTTGGCCATTACCTTCTGACCTTGCTTTGTGAGAAAAAGAGAGCTGTTTGCCACCTTCAGGAGCCCGTCCTCGTGGCAAGTCCACCTGACTGCCTGGGGACAATCAACAATGATGCTGCGAGAGGACAGAGCAGAGCGAGTAGAGATGCTCAGGCACTGAGCAGATTTCACGTGGAGGAGCCTGTCATCTGCTGTCCACCGCCACTTCTGGTTGAGGTTTGTCATATTGCACTTTTCCATAATGACTCCTCTCTTTTCTGAAAGACACTGCTGTTTCTGGACATGGATAATCAGAAACCCTTCTGGAAAAGCAAAATTCCAGAAAAATACAATAGATTACACATGGGTATTTAACAAAAAGTAAATTCTTGATGATTTAAAATACATCAGCAACTTAATCTCTCTTCCCATTTTCTATGTGTTGAACTTTTCATGCAACATTCTATAAGTTGAACCTATTTAAAAAAAAAACCCAAACACACTAGCCACATGATTCAAGTGCTAGTAATGTAAATTATGAGAATGCAAAAAGGAAACTTGTGGTAAGGTCATTATGGCCTTCGTTATATATAAAAATGAAGAAAAAATTAAACCAGATGTAAAAGAAATCCAAGAACTATTAACTTCAAATACCAATTCTAAATATCTCATTTCCTTTGCTTGAAAGCATACAGAGATCTACACAAGCTCTCAGTCTCTTTTTCAGTTTTACAACACAGACATTTTAAAATATAATTTACTGCCTGGGAGTTGTTTTAGTAAAATTCATAGTGTTTCTGAAGAAAACATATAAGAAACGTATAAGAAAACATATTCACAAATCTGTGTGCTTCTCAGTGCCTGTGTCATTACAGGAACGGAGTTTCTTTACTGATAGGAAGTACATCTATGTTACTGGATTTACTCCAACGTCTCTAGCTGTTAGTTTTGTGACCATTCCAACCCATGCAAAATTAGCTCTCTGTGTCACCATGCTTAAAAGATCAACACTAGATACTCAAATGAAGAGAGCTACAATGCATTCATCAAAACCCCACAAAGTTACAGAATACGGAACTGATTATTTCAAATGCAGCCTCCCTACCATATCATGTTTATAATGATTTATAATCTCAGTTTATAATCTCAGTTACTCAAACATTTCCAGCCTCATTAGTCACAAAGTGCTAAACCAAACACGTATTTATTTCCCTCAGTTGATATTTGTCAACCCCCTATTTTCACAGACCTCAGTATTTTCTGACTAAGCATCACAGAAAGCTCCTGTCTCTGAAGTCGCACAAAGTCTAAATAAATAGGAATGTCCCCTTTAAAGAGTTTGTCCCAAAACTCATCTCCTGGATTGTCTATCAGGAGATCTTCTTAAAAAAAGAAGACCTATCTCCAGCATAGAAGGAGACAGTTTGTTTTCCTTTGGAAAGAAATCTAAACAGAACGGGCTATGTTGGCCCTGCCCCCCATTCCTCTTGTATGAACCACAGCGAAGAGGTGACTCATTTTTTTAAAGTCACCGGCTATGCTGGAGGGCTCTACTCAGTGGCAGAAGGAGCAACACGGAGGAGGGGAAGGAGGGAGAGACACTTACCTGAGAGTGTCAAGGCAAGACAGGTAGAAACCAGGACGTGAAATAAAGAATCCATTTTCCCTCTAGCAACTCCCCATGCTTCTCTTAAAAAAACCCACCTCAGATAAGTGAAGCGAAGGCTAGGAAGGAAATGTGCCTTCACAGGGGGAAAAAGTCAGTGACGAGCACTTCCTTCTATTCAATTGTTTTTGGGAGTTTTACAGCACTTTGTCCTTTTATACGATTCTTCAGAGTGTACTAATTGGTTTATTTTGGAAAAATACAAGCAACAGAGAGAGACATTTTCAAACACCTGGGAAACTTAGAGATTATATTGAATCTCCTTAGACTAAAAGAAAGGGGATTATACTTTTGTGTAATTTGTTGCCTGTGAAATATTACAAGTTTGCAGGTCATCTGGATGTTGCAGGGTAAATATCTGCTGTAATATCCTGGGAACAAACACATATTTTTTGTAACTATACAATCAAGTAAAATCTCAATATTGATAGTTCTAACTCCACAAGTTCTAAAAGCCAAGTGGAGGGTGGGGGAGAAGGAGAAGAGGAGGAGGCAAACTTCTGGTATCTGTATCAGGTCTTACAGAAACTCCCCATGAGGAATCAAATGATGGTGGGTTTGCCTTCCCATCAGGTGGTGCACCTTGCTCCATGTCAGTGGGATATTGCTATTGCATGTGTCCTCTGGATTGGTTCCCAAGTGGTATGAAGCCATGGTGGAGGCTAACCAAATTGTACTGGGTTGAACCTGTTTATGGGGGTACAAGAGTGTGTGGGGCATTAACTACTCTAGGCAAGAATAGAGACTTCAGTTAATATTTTATATCAAGTTTAATTTATTAGCAGTATGAAGCAAAGTCAACATCACTGCATTAAAAACTCAATATACCCTGTAAACAGACCTCCCAGTGCTGTAAGTCATAATGCCAACTTTGCATATCTCTTAAAAACAAACTCATACTGAACAGTAAAGGAAACAGTCATAGTAGCATTTTCTTTCTTGTATAACCTGTCATGGAACAGTCCATATCACTAAAGGCATCTATCTCTTACTGAAAGAGATAGAGCAGATAAACAACATATGCTAAAATTTCCATATTAATAAAAGACATACAAATATTTAAAATCCTTACCATTTAATATATCCTACAAAGTTTGTTTTAAAAGCAGAATGACTTACACAATTTACAAATACACTGGATTCAGGTCTGTAGCAGAAGCATGTTCTAAGACAATCAACAGTATAGGGTAAATACAAACACACTGAAGAACAAACATTGTGCTCTGTAAGACCCACAGTAAATACACATTGAATAGTTAACAGTATGAAGAACATATATTTCCATACAAATTATTAACTGCTTTTGAATATTTTCAAAAACAAGATGTTTAATTCTTTTTTTATTATCTCATCTTTTTTTAAATCCATAATTGAACACTTGCGATTTTAGCAGCAAGAATATTATGTGGCCAAGAAACAAGCTCACCACATAATCAGTAATAGCACTTTACATTACAGTTGACAGTCCATTCACAAGACAGTTTGCAAACGTCAAAGCATTTATACACTTGTTAAACGTATCTTCTGTAGAAGTCCCAATGTCCATCTGACTGCAGCAGTAGCACATACATACATTCCACATGGCAGATATCAGCATTACAGAATTAAACCCACCTTTAGATACATACACAAAATCCGTGTGTAGTTTCGGGACAGAACCTTCTTTATAAATCATTTTTGGGAAGCTCACAATACATTCATATATAGTAAGGGTCCAGCAATCTCCATACTTTTGCCAAACCGTCCACAATCCTTTCAGAAGTTGGCCTCAAAGCTGTCTTTCCCACTGCAGTAAACTCCTTGAAGAAGCTGCTGCTAGGTAATGAAACAAATTACCTCAAGAGACTGACATTCAGTTTTACACTCCTTGGCTTCACTGGACAGCTTCTGCAGAAAGTCTGCTTTCATACAGACTCAGTGCATGGTGCACAAATTCATACTGCTCACTGGTCTGAACCATTCCACCCCTGGAAAGGAAACACACTGGGCTGAAATCTTATTGTTAAGAATGCAACAACTTCCAGCCTCTGACAGCCCCATGGCCACCAGATAATACAAGCCCTTTTGTCAATTTTTGGCTTAGAGTTTGCTCAAGTAAGTGGGAGATTTGGCTAAGCAGAAGTACTTTCATCATAACTTACGCCATCCAGCACATGCCCAGCAAGAAGAGTTCCTAGTTCCATCAGAGTAAGAACTAGAGAAGAAAACATCTGGCACCTACATTACAAAACATACATTTCAAATTCAATACATTCAAAGAGAATTTTTCTCAATCAGTTGGGCCAGATACATGGATGCAGCATTACCACTGATGGAGCAAGGAAATAGTCAGAATCTGGCCTTTCATTTTTGTCCTTTACTAAAAATGTAACCTTTGGTGACCTGCAGATCGTCTGTGCAGAGAACAGCTCTTCCTGTCCTCTTTCTAACGCCTACGATGCATCCTGTCCGAACAGCAGCCTAAGACACTTTGCAGCAGTGAATCATTTCACCACCAACAATACAAAAGAGTTTAACTTGACCATAAAAAGGACTAGTTACAGCCAGCTTGGATTAAATGCCTACATTTTATACATTCACCTGATAACAATCCTTTTTCGGGTCTAAGTATGAGGATCAAGTCCCATATGTCAGTGCCAGTTGCAGTGTGGTAGGAAGGGGATGTCATACTGGAGGTAGGTGTGATATTTACTACAAGTGGTACCATTTAACTCTGAAATTAAACTGAGCCTCTTTCTGTCAGTACTGAGATATTCCAGGTCTCCCTTCTCACGGAGCATAGCCTCAAGTTTACTTAATTCCACTTGTGTTATCTCACCTGCCAGGGTATTCAAAGCTACCTACGCTGCTTCTAGAACAAGTCCCCGGTTCATCCTCAGTGTACCCTGGAGCAATGAGCTACCTTTGTGATGATGAAAGATTAAATGGCCTTAGCGGGAAGGAAGACATTGAGATATGTATCGCGTTTGGCTTCAGTTATATCTTCATTGAAATATTCAAATTTGTGAGATATTTGGATCCAGAGCACTGTTGAAGCCAGATATCTTACAAGGACAGACTCCCATGAGCTCTCTAGCAACAAATACAGTACTGATATACCAAGCTACTTGAAAAATGGTAAAACTGCCTCAAAAAGTATCATCCTTTAGTATTAGAGAACTTTATCTACAACAAAGCGTCCTTTTATTTTCCTCAGTGCTACTGGGTAAATGGCTGTGGCAGGCAAATCATAATTAAAATAATATCTACTTTTTTAAGCAAATGACCAGCTGTCTGTGTTCCCCCAATGAGCTCAGGCAAATGTCGAACATCTTTTAGTGAACTGCATGTCTATTATGATATGCTATTCCTAGGAACAAAATCACTGGCCCTTAAATGGTTTCATCTGGCACAAAATATGGGAAGCCGCCTGAGGAGCAGCTGAGGTCACTTGGTCTATTCAGCCTGGAGAAGAGGAGACTGAGGGGAGACCTCATTGCAGTCTACCACTTCCTTGTGAGGGGAAGAGGAGAGGTAGCCACTGATCTCTTCTCTGTGGTGACCAGTGACAGGATCTGGGGCAATGGCCTGAAGTGGTGTCAAGGGAAGTTTAGGTTGGATGTTAGAAAGAGGTTCTTCACTCAGGTTGGGCACTGGAACAGGCTCCCCAGCGAAGTAGTCACAGCATGAAGCCTGACAGAGTTCAAGAAGCCTTTGGATGATACTCTCAGGCACATGGTGTGACTCTTCAGGATGGTCCTGTGCAGGGCTAGGGATTGGACTCAATGATCCTTGTGGGTCCCTTCCAACTTGGCATATTCTGTGATTCTGTAAAAATGCAGCAGACTCTTAGCTTTGCCAACAAAGACACAGATTCATAACTCTTGGCTGCCTGTTGCCTTCAGCTGCTTGCCTCTTTGCTTGTCCCCTACCCAGAGATCCAGCCAGAGACTGAAGGTGATGGGAGGGCTTTGCTCTGGTCCTCTGTGCTGCCTAGTCTCCTTTCTTTCTCATCACTGCTGCATCCTGGTTTGCCCACACAACCCCTTTCCAGCCAGCTTCCCTCTCTGTCTCCCCCATCGACGTTCCCGCAAGATGTTCTCTAAGGGAGTGCACTTCCCAGGTTAGATCAGCTGTGTGGAATGGGTGGAGGAAGGAAACATATCCAGGCAGAAGGACTCAGCAGGAAGGGCAGGCTAAAACAAGTTTGACTGTACTAGGCTGTTTGAGGTGGTGATCCTTGCTCCTTCATCTTCCTTACTTCTGTTGAAGTACATGACAAGAAGGCATGTGTAAGACTGGCTTGGGCTGAGCCCAGCACTACCCCATTTGCTCTGTTAGCAAGCATAACCGAAATGTTATCATGCTTCTGAACCTTGTATAGGCAAACCAATGCACACCTCTGTCAGCTTAAGGACACTTGAGTCTTATACAGAGGTTCAGACAACTTAGCCTTGTCAGTGCTGTTATACATGGGATTCATAGAACCATAGCATCACAGAATTGTTTGGGTTGGAAGGGACCTTAAAGACCACCTAGTTCCAAACCCCCAGCCATGGGCAGGGACACCTTCCACTAAGTCAGAAGGTTGCTCAGAGGCCCATCCAACCCAGCTTTGAATGCTAACCACAACTTCTCTGGGCACCCTCACAGTAAAGAATTTCTTCCTAATACCCAATGTAAATTTACTCTCTTTTAGTTTAAAACCATTACCAGTCATCCTATCACTACAGACCATGGTAAAAAGGCTTTCTTTGTCTTTCTTATAAGCCCCCTTTCATACCGAAAGGCCGCAAAAATATGTCCCTGGATCCTGTTCTTCTCCAGGCTGAACAGCCCCATTTCTCTCAGATTTCCTTCATAGGAGAGGTGTTCTATCCCTCTGACCATTTTCATGGCCCTTCTCTGGATCCACTCTAGAAGTTCCATGCCTTTTTTGTCCTGGGGACCCCAGAGCTGAATTTCTGGGCTGGAAGTGCACATTGCCAGCTCATGTCCAATTTTTCATCTACCACTATC